AAACTCAAAGTTGTCAACCAAGTCCTTTGCATTTTCACCTTTGAGAATGTCTGCCAATTCTGAACCCTTGAGAATTCGGTTTGCATGAGTCTTATTAATTTTTCCCGCAGTAATAGTAGTTGAAGAGGCTTCGTTCACTCCGTCTACCCCAAGTGCAGTGATACCCGGAAATTTGGAGACATAGTCACGTGCAGCCATGGTATGTGCGGAGTCAGGAATAATAACATTTGTGACTTTGTTGTACGGCTGGAGCAACTCCAAACAACGCTCAGCCTCTGGCCCGTACGGAACCGCAGACCAGATGATAATATTATCGTTAGGAAGCTTGATCAAGGTCATACGGGCGCCTACTTTCAAAATGTTGAGCACAGAAAAAGGGCAGGAGTGGATGGCAATCTGAGGAGTAAGAAGGCGGGAGAAGCCGCCAAGAGGAGTGTTGTAAGGCATTGTAGAATTGAGACTTTGTTGTCTTAGGAAATGAGTGCTAGAGAAGGAAGTGTTCGTATTTCAAAGAAGAATGAGGAAAAGGGATGGGAGGAGCAAGAGGAGACTCGCTTTCTGCTGAGAAATTGTTCCCGCTCCATACCTTGCATACAGACAGCAGTACACGTGCTAATGACCGCCATGCGCGTATGAAAAATCTCTGGCCACTCGCCAGGATACTCTCAGAGGGAATTCTTCATGGCCTCAGCCCATACAGTTTTCGAGTAGATTTTTTAGTATTGATAATTTTTCATTTCTCGTTGGAACGAAGCATTTCGATATCGTTGTCTATGCAACGTCTAGATCGTGCGCAGGCTGAGCGAGATGCCATGCTCATATGCCGTTCAAAAATATCTTCCAATATGTGTGTCAAGTTTAAATTTACAAGCTATGCATCAAACAAGGAAGCGTAAATACAGTTACTTTGGTGGATTAGTATAACATCTGGAGCATCGTACGCTAATCAAACGAACCAAATAGGTGTCATCTATATATCTTCCAGCCTTTACCCCTACTCTGAAGTGTAAGCTTTTAAGGTTTATTAATGTTTGAGTTATTAAATTACTACACAGATATGGATTTCAAAATCTGGTTCAAAAAATTGAACAGAAACTGTTCTACACCTATTTAAGTTTGTGCAGTATTTTCTGATTTTCACCAAATCAGACCCGTCCCCATCTAATACGTACCCTTTTCGAACCACCTGCACCGCCGCCAGGTCTTGGAAAATCCTGTATACATATTTGTCTTTTACCCCGATCCAACTCTGTAAAGAAGTGGCCGTTCAACCGGGAATTCTTTTTTATATAAATGTATACTTTCCGTTCTAATATTGTTAGGTGGGTTAGTAATTTTGTACTACATTATTTAATTCTACATCCGAGGTATTCTTCAGCCCCCCTCCCCCACAGCCCCGATATCACCCCTGTCCTGCACACAGACTCCCCCGATAAGTAAAATAAACCTTCGAAACTGAACCAACAAAAAGTAAAGAAATAAATAGACACTAAAGAGACAAAAAAGGCACATATTAAACAATAATACATAGTCACGTTTATAAATTTTTTATGTATAAAGATTGGGTAGTGAATATAGATAGACAAACCCACGATCCCTTCCCTCCAAAAGACGTGCGCGTACCATGGTTAAAGCCAGCACAGTCGCGATTCGGCGTTTTATATAAGTGCAGTTTGCTCCCCATCACTAACACTAGGCAGTCCCCATTGCAACTGCGCCGATGTACTCATACAATCAAAACGGAGCGGGCAGCTACCAGCAGCCGTTACAATCACAGTCTACCGGGTTCTACCAGCTGCAATATCAGGGCCAGCAACAGCCCCAGTTCTATCAACAACAGGCCTTGCAGCCCGAATCCACCGGGTTTTACCAACCGCAACAGCAACAGTTCCAACAACCGCAATACCAGCAGCCATTGAACACCCAGGCGACGGGATTTGCACCAATGCCGCCGGCTCCGCAAGCGCCACAAGCGCCGCCAGCACAGCCGGTTAAGATCCCGTCGATCCGCCTCTCCTTCATTTCTGCCGCCGACCAGCTCAAATTCGAGAGCTTGTTCCGCTCTGTAGTTGTACCAGGTGAGCAGGCTGTTTCGGGGGATGCCGCACGCGACGTGCTCCTCAAGTCGGGCCTTCCGCCGTTGACCCTTGCGGAAATCTGGCAGTTATCCGACACCACCCGCCTGGGGCAATTACTCTTCCCTGAATTTGCACTCGCGTTGCACTTGTGCAACAAGGCGTTACAAGGCCAAGCCTTGCCGCGGGTTTTGGAAACCCACGTGCAAAACGAGGTGAGCAGCTTTGTGGATGCCATCAGTTTTGCCATTCCTGAGGATGAAGGGAAGGCCTTGGCAGGCACGCCGTTCAGCAAGCCCCAGGAGTCAAGCATCCACGCACTTGCAAGCGTGTTGCCTCAACAAACAGGGTATCAACAGCAACAAGCTGGGTACCAGCCGTTGCAAGCTCAGGTTACAGGCTACCAGCCACAACCAACGGGTTTCCAACCACAGCAAACCGGGTTCCAGCCACAGACCGGGTTTTTGCAGCAGCAACTGACCGGGGGCCAGCCATTGCAGCAGCAACGCACGGGTAACCAGCCATTGCAGCAGCAGCGCACTGGTGGATTGGTCCCCCTCCAAGCTCATGTCACTGGCGGGTTAGTGCCGCTCCAGACCGGGTTCCAGGCCCAGCAGACCGGATTCCAGTCCTTCCAAGCCCAGCCTACTGGGTTTTTACAGCAGCAACAGACTGGCGGTCAGCCGCAGCAAACCGGAAGGCCATTGCAACAGCAGCAAACTGGTGGCCAGCCGTTGCAGCAGCAACGCACTGGTAATGGCTTTGTCCCGCCTCCAGCCGCGCCACTTTTGAACCAGGCCACGGGAATGAACAACCAGATCAATCTCCAGGCCACGGGAATGAATAGCCAGACCAACCTCCAGGCTACTGGGATGAACCAGCTCTCCCAACAAGGCCTTGCAGTCCAGCCAACTGGTTTGGTACCACAGCCAACTGGGAAACCTGGTCAGTGGGGCTTTGTCAACATGCCAACCGGCGGCCTTCCGGGCTTGTCCGCCATGCAGAACCACTTTTTGCCCAACTCCGACCAGGCTTCCGGCCTGTTACAATCTCAGATGGGTGGGTCCGCCGCTTCCAACGTCACGTGGGCCATTACCAAGGACGAGAAGAGTATCTACGACGGCATTTTCAAGGCGTGGGACACTGGCAGCGGTTCCATCGACGGCGAAACCGCTATTGGAATCTTTGGCAAGGCAGGGCTTGCGCGCTCCGACTTGGAGCTGATCTGGAACTTGGCGGACCCTAGTAACAAGGGAAAGCTCAACCGTGACGAGTTTGCGGTGGCGATGCACTTGGTGTACCGTCGCTTGAACGGCTACGAATTGCCGTTGCGCTTACCAGCGGAGCTCGTTCCGCCAAGCGCCAAGATCCTCACGGACTCTTTCAACACGTTGAAGAACTCGATGCGTGATGACAAGATGCGCAACAAGCCAAAGAGCGACGGTAGACGGTTCAAGAACGATGATGACTCGATGAGCTCCTCCTCCAACAGGCACCGCAACCGCAGCGAGCAGGACAGCAGCCCGAGCGACAAATTATCGGTGGAGCAGCTCAAGAAGTTGGTCCATGAGAAGAAGATCTTGTTGGCCGCGATTGATGCCCGCGATGAGGACTCTAATTCCTCCCTGAACGCCCAGCGCGACCGCAACGAAATCGAAACCCTCAAGATCAGAATTCAGGGGGTCCAGGCCAAGCTTGACGGTAGCGTTTCCGGCGCCAACGACACTGTCAAACGCGACTTGGTCAAGCGTCTACATGCAATGACCGACCGCGTTCCGCAGTTGCTCCAGCAGATATCGCAGATCGACTCGCAGATGACCCAGGCAAAGATCGAGTTGTATCGCATCCAGCTCAGCAAGAGCCATCCAGGTGTGAGCATTGTTGGGACCGGGCCTAACGGGACGATTACCGATGCCGACAGACGCCGGGCCAAGTCCAAGGCGCTCTTGGCACAGAGAATGGCTGCATTGACCGGTAAGAAGCTGGCTGAGGACGCAGTGTCGGTAGAGGAGATCGAAGCCAAGTTGCAGCAAGAGGCCGAGAGCATTCAGCGTGAGAACGGTATTGAACAGGGTATTATCACGGATATTGAAAAGGGTATCCGGGACTTGAAGGAGGGTGTTGAGAGAGAGTTGCACACCTCCGATGTGAGCGCTGCTGGCGCAGAAAAGTGGGAGCGTGGAGTGGGTGTTCATGCTGAGGTGAATGAGTTTATTGCTAACCTTCCAAAACCTCGCTCTTCTCAGGCTCCAACCCAAGCTCCAACCCAAGCTCCAGTCCAAGCTCCAGTCCCAACTTCTGTTCCTTCTGCGCACTCACCTTCACCTGTCGCGTCGACGCCGGAACCAGCTTCTGAATCGTACTCCGCGTACAAGACACCGGAAGAAAGAGCCGCTTACATCAAGGCAAAGGCAAAGGAAAGAATGAACGAGAGATTGGCCAAATTTGGCATGAGAAGAAGCAAGACTGATGTGGGCGGAACCCCTGAGCCAGGGGCCAAGTCCGAGGTGAAGCCAGAGGCACCAGTCGCAGTTCAGAATTCAGTCCCTATCCAGACTCCGGTTGCGCCAGTTTCCAAGGATGTGAAATCTACTGTTGACTCTTCTATTCCGGCTTCGGTTACGGCACCAGCGCCGCCTGTCAGAGCACCTGTCGCTGCCCCTGCTGCCGCCCCTTCTCAGGTCTTTCAACCTGAAGATTCCTCTTCCGACGACGACGAAGAGTACCAGGAGTTGATAAGACAGAAAAAGGCGTTGGAGGCGAAAAAGTTGAAGAAGAAGGAAGACAAAGAAGCGCGTTTAGCAAAGTTGCGCCAAGAAATGGAAGCGTTGGAGAGCGATGATGAAGAGCCAGTCAAGACTGAAAACGTTCAATCAGAGACAAGAGGTGTTGAACCAACAACTCATGCCAGCAATCCTTTTGCCAAGGTTGCGGTGTCCGCTCCATCTACGGTTGGTGCGCCACCTACGGTTGGTGCGCCATCTGCGGTTGATGCTCCGATTGATAGGAACAATAACCCATTCTTCAAGCCGGAGGTAAAGGTCGACCAGTTTGACTCTAAGGCAGCGGCTGCTCAGCGTGCTTCCCAAAGGGGTCACACTGCCGCTTCCGACGATGATTGGGACGATTCTGAAAAGGATTCCAGCGACGAAGAGGGACCATTGAGAAATTCTGGCGCTGCTCGTCTCGCGAGTATGCTATTCAGCGGTATGGCCCCACCTCCAACAGCTAACTTGCAGGCTGATAGAGAGGTTGCAAAGGAGACTGCCAAGATGGAACAGTTGTCTGTTGCGCCAGTTACTCCTCGAGCAGAGATTCCAACTCCGGAGATGCCCTCAGCTCCAGAACCAGCCTTCCAGCCTTCCGCTACCGCTTCGCCGTACCTCTCCGCTAGCGAATACGGCGAAGCTCCTCAGATGTCTATTCCACCATTGCCTATGACGTCTGCTCCACCCTTTTTGCCAGAGAGCACCGCTCCTCCTCCACCCCCACTACCAACAAGCTCTGCTCCACCCCCACTTCCAACAAGCTTTGCTCCGCCCCCATTACCAACTAGCTCTGCTCCACCCCCACCCCCATTTCCGTCTGTCGCAGCCCCTCCGCCATTGCCAATGGCCCCACCTGCTCCTCCTGTAGACTCTCCACTGCTTTTCGGTTCAGCCCCTCCACCGCCTCAAATGGCCGCTCCGATGGTACCAGCTCCGACCGGTGGTGCTCCTAACCTTCTGGCATTATTGGGTCAGATTACCGGGGGTAAACTGTTGAGAAAGGTCGACGATAGTGAGAAACGTATCGTCGAAGGCGGTACTGTCGGTAGAGTGTTGTAGATTGTGTGCAAAATGTATATGTATGTTATCTGAGTAAAAAATAGTTGTATTTGTTCCGAGAAAGATCTCTGGTAAAGAATAGTTCCAAGTCTTCTGGATAGTATAGCAATAAGTATCGATGCGAGTGATTTCAAATGATTGGGATGTTCATACTCAACTGTTATTACCTCTACACATCTCGCTGCCAATGCCTTATTGAAACAAGGATTAAACTTTATTTTCTCTGAAGGGGGATTATATTGAAGACACTAACACTTACAACAGAGGGAATGCCTTTAATGACAGATATTCAGAGTTCTAATCGATGATTACTAATTCTCTAGCATCATGCCCTTGTAAACCTGAACAGGTCCAAACGGGCCCTAGAGTTTGGACTTGAAACCGGTCCCTGAGACCCGCTAAGTGACAAGGGCGACGACATGATCAGCCTAGGGGACGGAGCCGTGAGCTTCCTAGCGTTTGCTGAGGAAATCTTCTTCCGAATCACCGGCAGAATCCGTTCCACAACCTTACTCTCCATCGGCGACGACTCGGGGGTATTTACGGATGAGAAGGAAAACTTCAGCTTGAGCCCCTGGGCAATGGCCAGCAAGTTGTTAGTCAAACGGTCCTCCAGGCTGGCGGTGGAGGTATGCAGAAAAATCTCGTCTATATCGCTCTCACACTCGGAGATGTCATCCGTTTCGAAGCCCGGAATGTGGGAAATATGCTTAGCCGGAATCGGGGATGGGGCAGCAGAAACTTGTGGGAGTGGTTCCAGCAACGGTGACTCGTCTTCCGGATCTGTGAGGTCAAAGTCGCTGGAGTCCATGCCGTACTTGGCGGCAAGTCCCCCATTTTCTGGGGAGGACACGATTTCATCCTCATATCCCTCGGTATCAGGCACAACCATTGCCCGTTTCTTGAAAAAATTGCTGGCCAATCCGGTAGACTTGGTCTCAAAAGGTCTCTTACTCGACTGGACTGGTCTGCTCACGGCAGGGAAAGTCAGAGTTCGTGGAAGCGTTGAGCTCCGGGGTTTGCCAGGATTCAAGGATGAAGAGCCCAAACTTGTGGAAGTACCCAAGCTAGGTGGAGTGGGGCCCTTCAGAGTGTGTTTGGACAGACGGAAGAACAGATCAATGGAGTTGGCCAGTTTGGGCAGTGGCGTGGAAAGCGACCTGGCCGCTGGGGTCACTCTGCCGGTCCCCGCCACATCAGCACTAGCGCTTGGCCTGCCTGCCAAAACAACATCCCTGGGATGGAGCTCCTCCTTGGAAAAAGGGCAAACATCCCCTCTGGCAATCCTTTCGTGCAACAGAGCGTCCTCATACGCCGCCCCACAGCACTCGTGGAGCGGGTTTTCCTCCTGGTATTCATTCAATGTCGTGAGCGCCTTCTTCACGGGGCAGAATACGCGCTGGAATTGAAACGCCAAATCTGCCTGGAGTACCTCGTCCTCAAACTCACGTGGAACCGGCTTGCCATTCATCCGTAGCGCCACCAACACGCGCTCGAGCGTCGTGTGCTGCTTGATAAGTTGAAAGGCCGACTTAACCCCGACACCTTTGACCCCCAGGGTATAGTCGCACCCTGAGAGAATCGCAACAGCGCGCCACTGCGCGAGGCTGAACAGCGCTAACGGAAGCTCCGTGCACGCACTGAACCGGTCTCTGGAAACCTCAATACACTCTCCTCGGTCGTTCAACTTCGTGATAAGGGTTCGGCAGCCAAAAACAAGCAAATCAGAGTCCTCAGAAACGATTCCGCTTACCAATCCTTGTGCTTCAAGGTACACCATCTGGGAGTCCGCCTCGTACGGCGCCACCACGTACTGGAGTCCACGGTGCTTCAAGACCTGGATGACGGACTTGACCATTGCAGGCGTCACATCCGCACATTTCATGTAGCATTTATATGCCTCTTTGGTGTTACCTCTGCGCGCGTAATCCGCAGCCTTGACACGGTTTTCCTCGCGCCGCGCCGCGCGTTCGCGCTCCGTGCCGGCCTTCGTGGGAAGGTGGTCACCGTCAAACACCAAATACGGCGTAATCCCGTGGTCCTCGAGGAGGGTCACACGGCGCATGAAGTAGGTGACGTACTTTTCCGTCGGCATCCCCTGGGCGAGCTCAAACGAGCACGTCATGAGCGACTTGTGGAGCCACGAGTAGGAGTCGACCGCGAGCGTGCGGCCGCGGTAGCGCTGGAGAGTTGTCGGCTCCTGGACCGACTTGATCGCCGGAAGGAGTCCTGTTACACCCATGTGATATAAGGGACAGAAAATAATAAAAAAAGGGGGGGGGGGGGGGGAATGAGAACAGTGAGATGGGTGTTTTATAGCAAATTCTGTTTGTTTACAGGATCACAGACGCGAAAAAGGCGCGTAAGCAGGGGGGGTCACGTGCACGAGAAGGATGACTATGGATCTAGCTACCAATATAGTAGTGAGCAATGCCATGCTTCGGGGGTGAGAACCGTGAGATTCGAAAAGGGTTGAACTTTTCTGGTTATGGTAAGTGTCTAGATTAGGATACTGTGCCAAACTTGAGATCTGGGCTGGTGAAGGCTGATAAATGCGTGTGCCTGGAGGAAGTCCGCGATATCGAAGGAGCATACGTGCGAACTGGGTTTTCAGGTAGCTTGGACCGCCCAAATGGCCAGGATCAACACCATAAGCATATTATTTTAGCCCAATAATACGGTACAGCGGTTCAACTTTATACAATAATACACTTGTACTATTGACAAATATTCCTTATAGCTATCTAGAAGCTTTGGCAAATTAGCGGAAATGCTTGTCTGTCAAAATGGTTCGGCTATCAATCGATAGGTTCTTATTCTTGGCGTTTACTGATGTGTCAATTGATTATAAGTAACCACAGCCTAGGGTATAACAAGGTGATGACCAAGCTGGGGGCCCAACTATGGACAAGATAGAAAATCAGTGGACAGTGTACGTGATTTATCCATTTCGAAGTGATCACGAGTAAAGCCTGGATGTAACTCACGGCCACAGATCTAATTGACAACACTCAACTCCAAAGATTTGGATGAATTTAATGCTAACAATCAACTTTCAAGTCTCTGTTCTCTCTTATATGACGCCAGATCTCAGGGATACACCATTTAAATTCTTAAGCCAACGCCGGGTTATATGAACCAGCCACAAGATGAGGTATTTCCTAGTAAATTATCCAGTATTTATTAATATATGGCAGACTAATACTAACCGTATCATCCCAGATTGGCCATTGTTCCAAAAATATACAAAAAAAAATGGTTCAACGATATCCTTCGCTCTGAAGACACAACCTACCTATGTATTTTAGGACATACCCATTACTTCATCCCCTAAAACCCATCCTCACCTAGCTTCGCCTCAATATCCCCGCACATAGCCTCCAAGTCTCTTAGATTATCAAGCAATGGGGGGATCTCGTCAAACCGTCGCTGCTTCTTCGCCGTGTCAATCATCTCACCAATCAAAAACATCTGTTCACGATAAACCATGAGCTCCTCGCGGGCCTCGCGGATCTGTTTCTTTGTCAACTTTGGCGCCGGCAGATCTGGCTTAACCTCTGCCATTTCCAGCCAGTAACGCTTGAACTTTCCCCCGTTTTCTTGGAAAAACCACGTTGCATGCTGGAGAATCGAGTGCCGGATTTTGGTGTCATCGCTGCCCTCGGGAACGGCAACTTTTAACGATTTGGCGAGTTTTTCGTACGCTTGGAGCGATTCAACCAACTTGCCACGGCTCTTATTCGCGGCAATAATCGTCGAGTCAAGCGGCTCACCTTGCACCAGCACTAGCGATGCCTGAAATTTTTTGAGGAGAATGATAATCACCTTTTCGTACGTCGTGAGGTCGTGGTAGATTTGTAAATATTCCGGGAGTTCGCTCTTTTCCACCTCTCTGATGAAATTTCGCCGCTTAAGTAACCCATCCTTACATCCCAGACACACACGGATGACATACTGCGGGTCTCTCGCCTGGACACCGCCCAATCGCTCGCAGAGCTTACCCAATGGTACCTCCTTCGAGCAGGCCGTCATTTCGTCACCACAGACAAGCTTTCCACATAACCGGCAGTGATGTTTCCGCACATACACCCCAAACATTTTGAAACAGAGATGACAATGGGTCGCGGAAGCATCCGACGCCCAGGCCACAACTTCCCGCTCCGCTGCCCGTTTCTGCCCCAAGGAACTGCTGGCAAAAAATTTGAATACCCTCCCCTCATCTTTTAGGTCTATTTCGTTGAACCGCGCCACGAGCTTCACTAAACGGTTCTCCAACTGGTTTGTCTTGAGACCTTGCTGATCGACGATGCGCTGGCGCGAGGTCTGAAACTGTGTGAAGAGGTCGCGAGTTGCGCCGTCGGTATCCAAGTACCCGGGCTTAGAGTTAAAACACGACTCGCAGCAGCGGCACCAGGTCCCATCTACCGGCGAGTACTCTGCCAGAGAGTCAAGCTTCATGCGAAACGCCGTGTGCTCGTTACAGAAGAGCTCGCCGCACCGCCGACAATTCACCGAGCCGTTCCGCACGTTAAGCAGCTTGCGGCACCGTGGAAAGTGACAGAAGTCGTTGCCTGAGGGGTTTCGCCAGTGCTTTCGCGTGACCTTCGGACCTCGCGTATCGGGCTGTGGTGACGGTGATGTCGCAAGCAGCGACGGATATTCAGGACTCGTGAGGCTATCGAGCTTGACGAGCTTCGACGGGAGGCCGATGGGAAGCTTACTTGTTTGGCTTACCACCTTCTTTCGTAGCCATCCCGTGAGATCTTCGACGTTTTCGCCTGTGAGGGTACCTGGGACCTCCTCACTGGCATTCGCGTGTTCATCGTCCAAGTGGCGATTGAGCTGGTGCATACTGAGCACCTTGAGGCCACAAATCGGACACTCTAGCTCCGGCTCATGCTGGGGTTTGGGGGTGGGAGGTACCACAATGTCAGGGACATCCGTTCTGGGTCCCAAAACTCGCCTCTTCATGCTGTGTTGGTTGAGACTCGATGAATTGGAGATGAGGAGTAATCGGACTTTTAGCCTGAGTTTTTCGAGATTCGCTTGGCTGCGGCTGGGCTGCAGGCTAATTGCATTTCCCAGAATGCAACGGGTATGGATAGACCAAATAGCAAATATTGCTCTGGGTTCAGTTGAAGTAGTAACCGATTTCCTGGAGTCCTATACTTCCTTTTTGGATAGTCATGAAAAAAAATATCCCGTCCCACTGTTATAGACCCCCCACGAGATCTGACGTGTTGCCTATTAATATATGCAGGATATACATTTGAATTGTGGGGTGCTCACCTCCGTATATCACTCAGTATAATCTAGTCCTATTGACTGAAATTTGCATGGGTATTTATAAATGGATAGCTTTGGTTTATTTTTTAGCATCAGATTTTAATGTAAAAAGTACGACACATTTATTGGTCTATAGGAAAGCAGAGTCGTAGATACGTGCGATTCGAGGTTTGCGCCATAACCGCCACAGAGCTTGTGTTGCATTTGTGTATGCATGAGAACACGAGTAAACTAGCCAAGCAAAGGCTTATATATTAATTTGAGATCATTATATACGAAGGCCAGTGCGAAATCAGCCTTCACCATTATATCATTTCACTGGTGATAATGTCTGTCTCGCTGTCGCCATTGGCACCTCCCGAAGCAGCGCCTCCGGAAGGAGTCGAGGAGGATATTGAGATGATGAATCTATACTTGGACGGTAGATACTATTCCATTTTGGAATACACTTCACCGCGCTTGCTATATGGATCTCTTACCCCCACTGCCAGGATGGCGATTGCATTGACATTATTTCAGTTGGGTAGAGTCAACATTGGTTTCCGCGAGATGGCGCTCGCAGTAGAGCTGGCTCCATTTGGCTCCAGAGGAAAGATGCTTGGTCATATTGGTATGTGTTTGAAGAGGAAGGGGATGTTTCGGGAAGGTGCTGAGTGTTACCTTGAAGCGCTTTCGTTCTATAGGGCCTTTTCTCAAGGTATGGAACAGTCGAGTGAAACGCTGGAAGCGATCGAGAGCATCTTGTGTGAGGGTTACATCTCCTGTAAGGAGAGATCCGACTCTGGTGGAGTTTTACGCGAGCTTCTAGAAAGGTACAGATACCTATTTCTTCCTTTTTCTTCCATTCACTCTACTAATGAACCTTAGCGCTCTCCCCCCGGCCTACGTTCAGGCCCAGGAATACGTCCTTGCTGGGGGTGTCTTGGAACAAAACTCAGTTGCTAGTGTGCTTCTCCAAAAGTATGTGAAACCACGCTATTCATAACAATTATAAATATTAACCTGGTTCTTAGTAAAACCACCATCGATGATGTAGTGCTGGTGATTCTTCGATGGAAAGAATCTACAGGCCACGAAAGGCGCTCATACACCGTAAAAGACCCTACCCGTCACTTATTCAACTGCATCAAAGCTTTTGGCCTGAATGAAATATACACAGAACTCGTCCGGCGCACAGCCCTTGTTAAGGAATATATCGAATACGACGCATCGCACTTCCCCGAAATCGACTTAAATCTCGACAACAAGTATGCTCTCCGTACTCTCTGCAAGATTAGTCTGCGTTCGGCCTTGTCGCTGATCAACCTCTACTCGGTGATTGTTAAGCACAATACAATACTAGCCTTCCTTGAATTTTTGAACGGGGACTACAGCTTGGCTTTCCACAAATTGGAAAAACTCCTCGAGCTATTCGACTTGGTGGAAGAGACCTTTTCAAAGACCATTGATCTCCATAGCCATGAGTTTTTATCACCATCCGTAAAACGGTGTATCGCAATTTATATGGGACAGGCGGCGCTCAACTTTTGCCCCACCAGCGATGCTATCGAGGAGGTCCTATCCGCAGTCATTGATTCAGGCATGAATATTAACATAAAGGCTGAATATATCTCGGGCAGACTCGACCAGTTCTTTCTCGTGTGTGGTGGCTTGTTCGAAAGACTCTCGGTTATGCGGGCTCTGAATATGAACGTGGAGCTTAGAGACCCCTCGGGAAACGTCATACGTCTTTCAAAGTCTGAACTCGAAGAGGCCATTAGGAAGTACATCTTTGCCGCGGTGATGCGGCCACTGGATGATGTTGTCGAGTTGTACGACCGAATTCTCTGGGGTTTGTTGTTGTACGGTGGGATTCATGTGAAGGTTTTGTGGTTTTTCAAGTTCATTAGAGACTACTTTCTAGTGGCAAACGAATGTGCGGTGATTCATCACCATACTTCCGAAGTATGCAGCTTCTTACCAGCGAATCCCCTAACCTCCGGTAACGGAGGTGAGATTGTGGATAAGATCTATAGCTTAAAAGATACGTTTCCCCATTCAGATCGATTGGGTATGTGGAACGAATCTCACAATTCTTGCTTCTTGGTACCCCAGGTCTTTTGGGATACGGTGGAGAACCAGCTAATCCTCCTTGATGAATTTTTCGACGAACGGTACCCATACGGGGCCGAGAAGGGGTTTATTTTCTCCACCACGCAAAGGGCGAAGCGGAAGTTGAAAGGACACTTGAAGTTGCACGAAAGTATTGTGAAGTTTCAGCTTGACAAGAGCCTCCAGTTTATTGAGTTGTGGATCGATAACTATGCCGAGTATCAGACGCTGATTCCCGAGCCGATCTCAAAGTTTTGGAAACGGTATGTCGCGTAAAAAAACATCAAAAAGGTATACGGTCAGTGCCAGTGCAAAGAGGAATAATCATAAATTAACTGTAGTCATTATTCACTATGGAGGCCCAACAGGACTAAGCTTACAACTTTTGAAACGTAAAGGACTAAATTTAATACTATACGCAGGGATAAGGTAAAGACTGCTAACCAGGGGGAGCCTCACGATCATTCCTTCACTAAGCTTTGCAAGATGTTTCAAATCGGTTGAAATGCGTGTCCTGTGCTCCTGTAGTGAAAGCTCTTATGGAAATATACCATCCACTTTCCAATATGCTACTCTAGATGTCACCCGTCTTGGGGTTATCAGCTTTCACGGAGGGGACGCCTCCTCCTGTGGACAACTTGTTGGTACGATATTTCTCGTAGAGGTACGAGTGAGTCACATCTTTAAATTCTTGCATATGCGATCCAAACAAGACTGTTTTAAGGGCCACGAAGTCACTCTGACTTGGATCCTCGACTATAATGCGTTAGGACTTTTTCTCTATTTCATGGCTGGTACTCACCTTTTACAGTTCCCCAGGGATACTCCCGTACGTGGTACTCTTTTCCATCAATCACCCTTTTTGTTTTACTTGAAACAATTGCAAATGGGAGTAAGCTCTGGAGCTCTCTGGCCTCTTCGAACGAATCTGCATCGTCAATATCGCTTGCAAAGTCGTAGATTGGAATTCCATGGGTAGCAATGTCTTGCATGGCATGAACCTTGTTGAGTTTCAACTCCTCATCTGTAAGCAAATCGGCCTTGCTAAGAAGGGGAATGACGTTAGCGCTTTTTGAAAGCACCTTCATGGTGAGAATATCAATTTCCCGGAGGCCCTTACCTGTTGGTCTGATGAAGTAAAGAACCACGTGCACTCGGTTGTCAAGAGATCGCGGATTGCGCCGGATGCGACATTCCTCGCTGAGAATGTCATCAAACTGGCGTTCAAGGTACTCCAAAATTTTTGTTGGACTTTATAGGGGTATTAGTATGTGGCTTTACGGAACTCTAAGAGTGCATGCTTACCATTCGGTATTGTCTAAATTATCTCCCAACCCAGGAGTGCGCACGATCTGAAGCGAGATTGGAGTTGACCCTTTCTCCACTACATCCACAATCTGGGTATAGATTTCCAACCCCGGACTCTCCCAGCTACCATGTGTACCTTCTGAGAGGGGGGGTTCAATTACCTGGTCACAAAGGGTATTGATAAACGTGGATTTCCCTGTGCCACGCTCTCCGCAAACCATAAAGCACAACTTCAAGCCCCGCTTGACCATCTTTCGGTGGCGCATCTCCTCAGGAGAGGCCTAAATAGGTTAGCAAGCTTTTCGAAATATTGCTTGATTATCAACATCAACTTACTGGAATACTGACTGGTGCCATATCTGGATGAAGGTACTGCGTATTTCTTGTTACTACTTAGGTTATCGCGGCAAAGGTTTAGTCTTACCATTATGTACGCTATTTTAATCATATGGCAAGTGGATATAGACTCTTGCAAAGCCCTGTTTGTGGCAAGAGCAACAACTCCCGGTTTGTGATAAGCTGCAGACAGCGTGTCAGCCTTGCATACGCAGGTACCCGGTGCAATCTCCAAAAGATCCCCACAACGACGTCCCACGTTAGTCAAGAGATTCCTATATAATGGCGCCTACAGCTTTTACATCTTTAATCGTTTAAAAACTTGATAGCCCATAAATCTTTTCTAGCTTTAACTTTACGTTGAGAACCAAAAACTTTGGCAATATTCTCCACCTGTTATCAAGTATCGGCGATAGCATGCACGATTTAATCAATGTTGCAATATTGTGGAAGTATTTATCCTGGCGGATAATTACATAAAAGATAATTTCGACTTAAGTTACTCTAATTGACTTTGATGTAAATCCCCCCAAAACTCAATCCTACCCTCGTCCAACACGGATCAATTAAAATCACTTGGCCATCTGATCTATATACAACCTGTTAAGATCGCCCCTAGTAGTCTCAAACTTAATTTTAAATCTCAAATTACTGATTGAGTATTATTAGGTTGAACATCAATCGAAAAGCCTGAACCAATCTTAGCTTTAACCTCATTTTCTCCACATTCGTCAACGCATCACGTTTAGTCTATTGTGCAGGACCTTTTTATTCCAAATGCACACAAATAGTGCCGACTGTGCGACAACACCTGGGAGTACCACAGCTTTATCAAAAAAATCATCCAAACGACGTCTGGGCCAATGAATGATCTTGATGATACTCAGGTTATCCCCATCCCCCACGATATGGTGCTGTCACGAGAGCAAGCTGAGATCAGCTTCCCCAGCAGCGGGACAGCTAAAACCATTAAGGAGAAGTTAGAGCCCACCCAGCTCATAGAGCACCTCAAACCTCCATATTTAGCCGATGAATCGACCCAGCATGTTACAGACACCCAATCGGAATTTTTTGTCAACCAGCCGCCTCAAAGTTCCGGCACCTCCGAGGAGCCATCTGGCTCGCCCCACGAAACCACAGATATCGATCTCATGAGCCCCAGGGTCGCCCCTGAAACCCATCAGGATAACACACCATCCTTGAGCGTTGCATTCAAGCAAGCTGATGACACGTTGGAATTCAATGAAACGCCGTTCTTGAACAAAATCACCGATCCGTTCGCAGACACGCCCCAGGCGGAAGACAAGCTGCTTGAGACGCCATTCTTTCGCAAGCACAGTGACATTTTCCTGGAAACCCCTACTAACAACAAAAACACCCGCAAGTCAAACGTCCGTAACATCTTTGCTGACTTGCGGAAACAGGCGTTCAATGAAGAGGGATTCGACTACGAGTCCCAGGAGCCAGACGTTATCTTTGCGGGTGCAGCTACCCAGAAGATTTCTGACACGGCTACCCAGCGGCTAGCTACGGACGACGAGACCCAGAAAATTGTGTACTCCCAGGACTCTGAGCCCTTGTTTCCCATCTTGACGCCTCCAGACGCGCCTACCGTGGAGATAAAACAGACCCAGGATGGTTTGAGTCCGTTTGTGAAGGTTGTTCCAGGGCCTAAGATTGATGAGATCGTATCTGACGATGAAGACCCCCATATGTCGAACGAAAACAGCAACGAGCTCGATGATTCAGTCAAGGGCCTCGAACTTCAGGATACCCTCCCTATCTATGCTGCTCTTGCCAGACATACCGAGCTACAAGATACCGTTCCAATGGATGTTTTTCCTATAGTGCGTGACGAGTTACAGACTGCTGCTCCTGTTCTAGTAAAAGAGACGGAGCAAGGCTCCCTTCCTATCGAGACAGGATCACCGAGGCATGGCGACCCCCAAAAGGACCTTCAAGATATTGACATGCCTGACGCAGAACAAGACACGGCTCCCATCAAGAGTTCCTGGACTAAAGGTTCTGACTTGCACAATCCCGCCGTGGAAGATCCGAATTTCTCGGTATATATCAACCCTACAGGCGATAGCGGCAACACCACCAAATCCCCCCTCAGAAGTAAACCTCTTGTATCAGATTTCTTACCGGCCAGGTCCCCTCCTTCAATCAGGGCCATCCCGCGAATGTATCCTCCTAAGGGGCCAATCGCCCATGCGGCTACCCAGTCATCCCCTGGCTTCATTGCGGAGTCCTCGCCTTCCATCAGAGACAAGTCCGACATGCTAACCCTCAGAGCGTTTACAGAGAAGTTTCCCAAGTTGGCCTTTCAGAATGTCAACCAGCCTCCGCCTGTGCAGCTCCCATCATCTCCCGACCAGTACAACAGCTTGCGCGAGCTTTCAGAAGAGATGTTTATAACCGTTGATCCCAATCCAGTTAATGTCGACGCAGACTTTACCCAAGAAATCGATGAAGAAGAACCTCATAAGCAATTTCTGCTTCTCGATAAGATAACCGGGAAAACGTCTCCTATCAAGGAAAAATCTGCTGCCAGTCCACCAAATTCTGAGACTGGCGAGGACGAGGATTCAGCGATTGGGACACGATCCAGACGTCGGAAACTTGTCCGAGATCTCAGTCAAGAGCTAAGCGATAAGATTCCCCCCGAATCCTGCCTTGGATCCACATGGAAGACGGTTGGGAGAGGCAGGTACAATCCGCCTGAAAGTAGTTCTCCGACGCGAAAAAAGACTAAAGGTGACGTGCTACCTCCAGATAAAGCACTTCGCAAGGATGAGACAACGTCCCACGAAAACTACTGTGTAACCCTATCGTTAAAAGATAAGAGCGATGCAAATCATGATACCGACTATCCTACCACGACGGTCACCAAGGAGGCGAAGCGCAAGCTATCGGGCAAGGATTGCAAGTTCAAACGAAGCGTATGGGCAAGATACGGCACTGATATCTATCCCGGGATCATCAACTATGAAAATCTGACCTCCACTCACGTCAATGTCAAGTTCGGAGATGGCGATAGCAACGTCTCCCGAGACGACATTTTCCTCTTAGACATCAAGGTGGGTGACAAAGTAAAGCTTCTCGGGGATGAGGCCAGCACCTGGGCCGTTACTGGTTTGACATGTAACAATCACTACCCCAGCACCATTCGATGCATGCGCGGATTTGATTTTGTGGTGTTAAAAAAGGTCAAAGGTGGCCGGGCTGCCAAAACCGCGGAAGAAGAGGAGGTCGACCTCAGAGATATCTATATTACCCTGAACCAATGGAAAGCCAGAAGGAAGCTACCCCATACGTTTAACATCCTTCCTGTCAAACCGGAGGAAACGGCGTCTCCCTTTGCCAGTCCGAAGCGAAATCATTCGTTGGGGGGTGAATCTCCTGTGCTCCAGAGCCTTCGGAGCAAGCACATCTTTAGCGGTTGTGTTTTTTGCATCACCTCTACGAAGAAGTCAGACACGTCTAGAGTGGAGAGCAGCATTCAGCGCTACGGTGGCACAATCCTCTCCAGTTTCGAAGAGGGCTTGATTCTTGACCGTACAGCCCTGGAGTTATGCCTCACGTCAAAATTCTTGAACCTGTATCACTTCGGTGCAGTTATTTCAGACGGCCACTGCCGAACGCCCAAATATATCCAGGCATTGGCCTTGGGCTGGCCGGTGCTCTCTGCGGAGTTTGTTTCCGACTGCATCAGGGATTACGCCATCGTTTCAGACTGGCCGTCGTACATGTGGGCAGCGGGGTTCTCTAAAGTGCTACAGGGGGTGCTGAGCCATGATACGTCTAATTTCCGGGAAATCCAGAAGGCGCAACTTGACCTCTCACACCAGTTGCGCAACCGCTCGCATGTGTTGCAAAACTTTCGGGTGCTTGCCGTAAGCGACACCACGATTTCACCCACCATCTGCGAGTTTGTGGTGCATGCGTTGGGAGCCAGGTCACTAGGCAATTTCAGCAACTACTACGATGCTGCAAAAGCTTGCAAGGCGCTAAATCTCACTGATAGTTGCAAGTTTTTGGTCTATGAGTGTGATAAAAAGACCAGAGATATTGCGCGGGAGTTTGAAGACGCGATGTTTTCCCGTGAAATCAAACGGCCGAAAACTGAAACTTCCGTGCTGTTTCGTGGCTTCTCTAAGAAATCTAAACTACCAGTTAGACCTTCCACTGTTGACGCAGAGGTGGAGGGGGCTGGTGCAAACTATATCACAGACTACGACAAGTACCAGTTCCAGGGGGTCAACTGGGAATGGATGGTGCAGTGCGTAATCAGCGGTCATGCCTGGCCTGGCAACAAAGCTGAAGCAATCGATGAGGTTTAGTGTTAACGTTTTGGCCGTTCCGTAACTCTAACTCTTAGTCAACCGAAGACTGCAAAAAGAGTGCTTCGATATATATTTAAATAAAAAAAAATAAGCCCACTAAATTTTGTAGCTGCTAGGCTGGTAGCACGGCACCTCGAAGCTGTCTCAGGGATAGGATCGGCACGCCATCTCGTTCCAGGAATTTAGACCTCCAGGAGTTTCGGTCAATATTCCTTGTCTTTAAGCGACGCCTCAAACTCAACGATTTGAAATTTTTGCCGATGCTAAACTAATTATAGAATTCGGTGCGCCCCCCGTTCCCCCGGTTGGTAGGCTAAGCCTATGCATCCCTGTAAACCCCTGCGCCGCCTGGTTAAACTGCACCCAGGTTAACCGAGACTAAACAGCTCTACGGGCGGACAATTACTTAATACCCTATCTAGATTGCTATCCTTAAGACAGTGGCTTGGAGGACTAAAAAGGCTTAGAGCTACAACGTCCTGTTGCTGTGTCTCCATTAGGCGCTCACAGGGCGCAACATTAATTATAAACATAGGCTCACACTTCCCTGGAAGTTAGTTTTGTTCGGTACGGGGTAGTTACCGAGGTTTAGTACAAGGGTATAGCCTTACCACACATATTGAGGCGGAGCATGTGTAGGAGCTTCCATAGATATAGGCATGGCCAGGGATAGGCTACTATACTAACTCTGTCAGGGTAATATATTCTCAGAAATCAAAATTCCAATAGTCGCATATCGGAACGGTTTAAAAGGAACGTTGGGCTTGGGGGTAATTTACTTTTTCAGAGTCCCTGTGCTTAGGCACGGACTTTACGGTTCTTGGGCACCTCAGTCATGAGTTCGAGAGAGCTTCCTTATACCGACGTAAGGACAAAGCACGATATTTGAGCTAATCCACGATGTAGTATTGTGTTGTATCTATGTTAAAGTTGAAAATATCATATTGTATTTATGTTAAAGCTGGAAATATCGGTGTTAGAGCTTCCCCGAGCGAGAGTAGAGCAATGCGGGCATACAAAAATACAGAGGCGTATTGCTTCTGCGAGCCATAACATCCAAGCTGAGATCATCTATCAGAAAAGCTACGGTACGATTGTGGTACTCCTTTCAGCAGTTGTTTTGAGAAACAAAACCCTTGGTCCTTTGCAAACATAGGAGCCGTCCGAGATTGGGAGATTACCTCGTCTGAAAGTCCTGGGCGACAGCTTTCGCATTGCCATAAGGATCAAGCGGCTCGAACAGTTGAAGGGTAATACACATTAGCCAGCTCCTCATTTCATAACAGCCTCGAATCATGCTAAAGCACCATCAATTACTAATTGTAGAATGATACCGCTGATTTTACCTTGCCTAGCAAAGACCCAAGAATGGTGCCAGTGCCTACGAGATACGGAAAACGGACATTCGAGCACGTAAACACGTAGGCTAAATAAAGAGCATGAGAAGGCGGGAAAACTCCAGTAGGAATGTATCCACCATTATAAATCAAGTGATTGACAGCGTATTAGCCACTGTCTAATCTTCCAGCTTGTATTCTCCATTATACGATCAATATAAAAGCTGGAAATAGCTATACAATCCGGGCTTGCAGTATCCCTGCTGGCGTCCTGCACGTTGAATGCACAGTCTCGTGAATTAGCCGAAGTATAACCACAGGGTGTACATTTACAGAGGGCATTCAGACCATACTTCCAACTACAAGAACCAAAAAAGAGAAAACATAGGTCTATGTCGCTTTCGAACCCCTCAGATGTTGAGCTCAAGACATTACTTCACGACAATCCAAACAAATTGCAGCGCGGAAGAGCTCGCAGCTCCCGGCACCCCTCCATCATAAACACCGACGACTACGATATCAACCCGAACTTTGGGAGGTCAAATTTAACAGACAAGTTGCTAAACGTAGATTCACTTTCTTCCAGTCCGGAACCAAACGACCATGACCGCAGTCACAGCCGTGAGCATGACCACAATCACAGCCATGCTCATGACCACAGTCATGAGCATGTCCATACCCACAGTCATGGGCCTGAGCAAAACCTCGCCCATTCTACCCCTAATAGTCATGATCTCGCCCCCGAAGCCCAGGAATGTACCCATGAAAAACTTCACGACCATGGCTCCATCCAGATTTCTACAAATTACCCTGCCTCGACGATGATCGATTACCTCCCCATCCTCTTGGCGGTGCCGACATGGACAATCTCCGCCAATCTCTCGCTCAATCACTACTATGATCCCGTTCTGGCGAGCTGGTGGCGTGATAATCTCATCTTGTGCGTCTTCATGACGACGTTTGTCACCACTGCACTCGCCATCTGCGCTCGTTTCGAGATCGTGCGCTTCACCAAGGGCTTCAGGACCCAAAACCAGACGTCGGATCAGCTCTGTTTGGTGCTTGCAGTGGGTTTGCTCGTGCTCATCAATCAGACCTTAGGGCTGAACCGGTTTGCGCCGGTCGCCATTGCGTTGTATGTGAACAAGCTTAATCTCTACACCCCCTTCTGTTTCATCTACGACCTTTACCGGGCCATCAACAAGGAGGATTCCAGCAGCGAGGTCCCTATTTTCCTCGGCTACATGTTCATCGCTGCGTTGGTGGTATTGACCTCCCGGTTCAGACTAGCCACGCCCCAATTGTCGCATTGTATTGGGGCCTGTCTTGTGGCGACAGTTATATCTCTCACGTTTGTCAAAGACCTCTTGAACGTCCACTTTAACCACACGATGCTTTTGATATCACTTTTTGCCCTGATGGTGGTCATCCTATCCACCAACGACTTGCTTGACATGAAGCGCCAGAGTAGCCAGCTGGGCAGCTCCTGGATAACAATGTTCCAGTTCCGCGTCTGTTTGGCCCTCAGCGTCGCCTTGTGCTATGTTATCGACTTTCTTGTCTTGGGGCGCCGGCCCGAAAGCATCGCTGGCTTGGCCGTTTCTCTTCTTGGTACGGTGGTTATCACACCCACCGACGGCCACACGCACTCACACGACACAGGCTCGCATGAATGTCTGCATCAGGTGCCAGAAGCGGCCATCCAGGAGGACTTGGCAGGCAAGGGCTTTGTGAAGGTTTTTATGGGGGCTGTTTTCCGCGATAAGCAGAAGAAAAACGTATTCACGTTCTTTCTCCTCAACTTGTCCTTCATGTTCATCCAGCTTATCTACTCGTTCAAATCGCACTCACTTGGTCTTTTGTCTGACTCCTTGCACATGTTTCTTGACTGTATCTCCATGCTTATTGGACTAGTCGCATCGGTTTTAGCCGCTTACCCCGAATCATCCTCGTCTCCGTTTGGAATCAGACGGATTGAGACGTTGAGCGGGTTTGCCAACGGGACCTTGCTTTTTGGGATCATTGCCGAGATCTTCTTTGGCGTGGTCAGTAGATTGATCAGTCCCGTCCATTTGGAGCAGACGAACGAATTGTTGATTGTCAGTGCCTTGGGGCTTGGGGTGAATGTTATTGGGGCCTACGCTTTGCTGAACAACTCAGAGCACTCCCATACCCATGGGGCAATCACGGAAGATGGGCATTCTCACAGCTGTGGGGAAGAGGCAAATGACAACATGAGAGGAATATTCTTACACGTGATGGCTGACTTGTTGGGGTCTGTGGGGGTAGTGTGCTCCACGCTTCTCATCAAATGGTTCAAGTGGCCGGGCTTCGACCCGCTTGCGTCTTTGTTTATTGCATGGCTATTGATTGGCCATTCGAAAGACTTGTTCAAGTCCGCTGCAAAGAGCTTGTTGCTTTCATTGAACGACGCCCAGGACTCCAAGCTCCGGGACTTGTTCAGCACCTTGATCACGATTCCTGGGGTTGCGGGCTTTACCACGCCGCGCTTCTGGCCCGAGCAGGGTAAGATGGCCGGGTATATCCACATTCAGTACTTCAAGGGCGAAAACTCGACTATTATCAAGAAGCGTGTCGAGAAGGTGTTCAACAACGCGGGAATGACCAAGATCTGGCTCCAAATTGAAAGTGAGACAGATGACTGTTGGTGCCGCAAAAACAGCGGTATTGTCGCAAGTTAAGGGAGGTAAGTGTGATAATACATCCACTTGAGAGTTGTAAGAAGCAAAATATTTGTATCAACGGTATAGTTTAATCCTCCGTGTGTATTGTATTTCACGTATTGCCTGTAACTTAGCCCTCAGTAGCTTATCCCTAGATGCACCAATACTGTCACTAAAAATTTTCCTTCTAGAAGCTAAGAGATGCACATAGCCCCGTATTATCGAGCCAACGAAGCAGTCGCCTTAAACGGTACTTTACACCTCGCCAACTTGGTGCTGAGTAGCTCCACTTTAACATCTTACAAAGCAGCACCATGATCGAGCACATGGAAGCGTCATTATGCACGCAGCATGCAGTACGAGCGATATTGCTCCGTATCGGACCACCATAAATCCGAGCAGTCAAAAATGCTTAGGACACCAGCTTCTTACACAGACATACCTTTAACCGCTAATTAGCAGTCTCATAAGGCATAATTCATTCCCATATTTCATCTCTATTCTCTTGGCAATCTCTTGGACTGCCTTTCTCCAGAGGTTCAGATCGGAGGCGGCTGGCACGATCATTGAGAGTCACGTGTGGTCATGGCTCTCCGGATCATCTTGTTCATAACGTGCATATAAAACATGCCACAATTCCCTCTATACGGATCACATGCGAAAGTGAGTCGCGTTTTTTTTGCTGCTTTTTTTCTCCAAGCCGCATCTCGTACGTCGTTTCTGATTACTTTGGCGCATAATATATGGAACGCCATCCCTCGAAAGAGCGTGGTTTGCTTTGTCGTTCACTTAATTCATTTTACTTCTTAATTCATTTTGCTTCTTGATCCTCTTGCTCCTATACCCCTTGACAGATCTGAAACGTCCCTCCTTGCATTATCAACTTCTGATAGCCCACTTACATCAGCCACATTATGAACCTGCTTGTCTTATTGAGACACGCCCAGAGAGGCGACACCCATACCACGCCTACATACGACCCTTCGTTATCAGAAACAGGTCTCGCCCAGGCCCGAGGTGCTGGCGACGACGTATCGGAATATTTGTCTTCTAACGACATGGATGTCGTTATCCACTCCTCCCCATATTTACGCTGTTTACAAACCTCCGTGGAACTCGCTCACCGGTTGCAGGCGGCTCATCTGGGAAAGGTATCCCTCAAGGTGGACCACGCCTTGTCTGAATGGCTACACCTGAATCTTAAGTTTGTGCCGCCCTTGGATAATGGTCTTTCCTTGGAAGCAGATGTTGCCAAAATCCAGAGTACGATGCCCCTTGCTAGTAACGTGTCCGTTGATCTCACCTGGAACACAGCTGCTTTGGGCAGCTTCAACTCGTATGGAGTGTCGTACTATGAGTACAGAGAAAGCATCAACCGCTATATCCGAAATTTGACATCTTATTACACCCTGTCTCGCAAACCGATGTTAATCATTGTGGTGACGCACGGAATCGCTGTTAACTGCTTATTGCAGTTCCTTTTGAACAAATCTTTGTTTCATGAAGTCCCGGAGGCCAAGATTAGCATTGCCAAACAAGTATCGGTGGGCCAGTGGTTGTTGGTACGGAACTGTTTGGGTTTGGCCAACGGTCCGGAAAATACCTCCACCTTATCCATCCCTAAGGATTATGAAACAACCTTCAGCTCCAATGCTCTGTCTGAAAAGAAATCTGCGGAAAAGGATTTCTCGGAGCTCACATACTCTCCGGCGGAAATATCCATGGGGAATAGCACCAATTCCTCCAATTCATCCGGCGTTTCCTTGTATAGCCTCGAGGAGGACTTGTTTGACTCACAAGAAGTGGTCTACCAGAACCTTCAGCTGCAATACCTGCGGCCCCTGCATATGCCTGAGAAGAGCGTATTGGAGCACATTTACGCAAAGTATGTTTATGGTCACTCCGAGGGGCATTCCGATGTGTTGTCGCCTTCTGACGAAGGAAAGTACGCCGGGCGCGTTCCAACTGCGCGAGAATCGTCACCAGAGGCAACAAGTTACACTTTGGCATTCTCTGGAGACTCCAAAAAGGGCCAAGGCCCTAGGTTTGAGGATTCTCATACAAACCCCAAGGCTACCGAAAGCATCAATTTGGGAGATAATTTCTCTTTCACACCATCATTGATAAATCCTCCGGCTTCATCTAAAATCCTGACATACTCTGTAGAAGAGGAAGCAGGTGCGTGGTTTGGCTCTAACCGCTAAAGTTCTTTTGGTAGCTCACCGCGATAATTTGTTGTGGTAACATTCATGTGAAGCACTGGGTGTTCTTTGTCTTTTGGGTATGGTTTTATTTGTTTCTTTTTCATTATGGGAGTCTTTTTGGGTCTGCACGTCGGCTATGAGCCGTGATGTCGATTTTCATGCGTTATCTTTGCATTGTGGTACTTGTGTTATTCCAGCTTTGTTGTGTCATTTATGTGACTCCAACTTTATTATAGTACTCATATATGACTCCAACTTTATTGTGGTACTCATATGACTCCAACTTTATTGTGGTACTCATATGATTACAACTTTATTATGGAGAATTGTAGTATATTTAGCATTAGTGCTCTTGAAATTGAGTTGCCAAGATAAGAGTACATTTCTGCCTTGGCTGAGGTTGGGGATATAGGCGGTCTTGGCATGTTGCGATGGCAAGCAAAACAGTAAAGTTTATCAGCTGGAACATGGTTGCATTTTAAACTCGTTGAGATTCTGCATATACACATACTCCGGCCGGGGCTGACCTGCAGTGGAAGCTGGTTGTAAATCTAGGGCTTCCTTTATGCCAGACTCCAAGAACCTTAGTTCGGTCCTGCTGTATCCCGAACCCTCGAGGGCTCGGGAAATTGATTGCCTAGCTGCATACCGTCTGAGGTTGTAAAACCAAGGGCCTACAGCAGTGACTTTCACTAACATCGAATTCAAACCCCAATCTACCGGTAACTAAGACAGGGAGCGTTAGGGGTGAATTTATTGCTGGCTGTAGACAATTCTCCCTCTCTGGAGTGCTGAACTCCTTAATACCTCCACTTTTTTCACGAGCAAGTGAAATTACCTGTTTTTGTATCCTTCTGTGGACTTCTGGAATGCAGTATGCCAGGCATGCTAAATTGTTAGTCCTACGTGACTTTTTTAGGCATGGCTAATGAACTTGAGTATTCCGAATGCAACCTCGCGTATGCTGCAAGGTGACCTCGGGAAGACTACAAGTCAATAGAAGCATCTCTATGCTTACTACTCCTGGGCTAATCCTATTGTTTAAAAGAAGATTCGCATGATATCTTCTGTAAACTCCACATACTTCTGTCTCAATATACTTAGTAGGAACTAAAATAGTTACCCTTTCTTGCATAAGACTACCTGGTCAGAATACTAAATGTGAATACGCGCCCTAGTACTGTGGTTCATCTTTTTACTGGGCAAACTGCCTTTACGAGATGCTTAGAACATTCTCTCCCATCATAGCTCTCGTTCCGGGACCACCATCCGGCTTACTTGCTCTATATACTCTACCAATCAGCCACTTTCTCCAAGAGTTGGATTGGGAAATATGCGTATTCTAGGTCTAGAATACCCTCGGAAATGCCTCCAAGCCCCTATAAAAGGTCTAAAACAAAGGTGGCGGGACTAGCTGTAAATGTACATGTTGCACCCACAGAATCCCCCCGCAGCTTTACAGCGATTTCGCTTACTTATGTACTCTCAGAATAAGATACAAAGAGTATTGTATATTTAGAAGATTTTTGGCTGGGTGGACGTCGCACTAACAGTATGTCCCAGTATAAGACGTAAATTTTAGGAATATAGACCAGCATCAAATCTGGTTGAAATATCTGAGTGGCTAGGCCACAGCCCCAGATATGGGCCCTATCAAACCTGGAATAGTACTTCTAGGTTTTACCGGAAAGGTGGGTAAATTGTGTATAATACAAAAACTCCCAAAGTTATATTAGTATCAGAAGGGGGGATATAAACGTCTCCTTAAACGCGGTAAGACCTTACACATTCAGTATAAAATGAAACAAGGTTACTTTGGATATATATATCTATATATATTTGATCGGAACGACTTTTATTCCTAAAATGGGGTTAAAATCATTTCTTTCTGTATTGATGAATTACGAGACATGAGTGACTCCACAACTTATATGATGCAGTGGGCTAGCATCAGCGTTTCTACCTTACATCTGCTATAGGGGACCACAGAAATGCGAGATCAAAATATGCGAAACATTATTGTTCCAGGAGCAATTACGAGTGATATAGAAATAGCCATCAGACTTAGTTTTATTTTGGCTATAAACTAGGGCTAGGTATGGATGAAGGGAACATGATAATTATACCATTTAGGGGGATAATACAAGCCTTGTAGGTATCAGCTTAACTGTCATGCCTGAATACTTCCATACACAACTGAACCAGCCTCAGAGAGTCAGTACATAATTATATCGGTTTTAGGTTAGGTAAAATTTTACAAAAACTAGACGTGATTTTACCTCTTTTTATTATTCTTTCACAAAGGGCCATGACACCAAGTGGGATTCAGTCCACCTAATCATGCAGAAACCATCAGATTATTTCCATAATCGGCTATTCAATGATACAGATCATGGGTTTTGAACTGAAACGATATATATAGAAGAAATCTTATACGATATAGACCACTAGTATCTCATTAATCCCCCGTGGGACGGTCAGAGGGAAGAAAAGAAAAATCATGAGCTATGTCAGGAGAGACGTACCAAAATTGGATCCGCAACGGCGCAGGTGTCCATTATACATGTCTAATAGGAGTGTATCTGTTACTGCCTAAATTTGCGGCCTCTACCTCCGCAGGCAGAGCCAGTAGAAAGTGCGTAGCTGTCTAGAAAAGCTTTACCTGGAGGAGGAGATAATAGTTTTACTCTGGTAATATTAGAACCGTATCACCAACTTTCTCATAGCATCCTATATGTGAAACGTTCACGTTACATTATTACCCAGGAGCGCAGCTGACACCATTGTATGAGCTCGGAACATCCATAGAGACAATCCAAGCGACTTTGGATTCTTTGTGAACTGCAGTGCTACATTTATCAAATTCGTAAATCATCATTAAGCATATAAGGTGGTTCCAAGAAAGGGAGGTTAAAATTGTGGGGTAAGGGACGTAAAAGCAAGAAGCGAAGTGAAGGGATTCTGGAACATCGGAAGGATCAGGCCTCATCTCCGGACGGAGAAGAAGAACTCGGGCTAGAGCTAGTGTCCTTTTTTGATGGTTTATTTCCCACATTCAAGTTTTTGAACCCGGAGCAACACTTCTTGGACTTTTCACAGTTCAAGCAGAACGGCTTGCGCTCGTCGCATTTGATCCGTCTCTTGCGGCACGTTAAGCAACCGGATCGCGTCCGTCTTTTTATCTCACGTTTGAACGGTTGGTGAGGTGGAACGGCCGACAACGGCTCGTTTCTTGGACGAGGGCCCATTTCCGAGTTTATATGCATATACTGGTTGGGGTATTGTTGGTACGGAGCCTGGGACATGTTCGGCATATACCGGGTCTCACTTTCTCTCTGTACATATTGAGGATTGTGAATAAAAACTGGATGATTATATGGTCTTTCTTCGTGGTAGTTGTCTGACCGGACATATGTGATCACAGGCACATACACCGCGTTGTTTACGTGATGAACGGGCTGGTTGTGGAAATGAGTATGGTCGAGCGGGGAGCGTGTCGGCGCTTGAAAGCTACCGGCTCTGGGAACGTTTAAACCGACTTCAGATATAGGTGGTGACACGAGACGGCCGCCGAAGCTAGCCTGGGTGGGTGTGAGCGAAAAGTAGTCCCGGGATTGGGTATCGTAGATAGGAACAGCGCTGGAGTGCGTCACCACGGGCTCGGTATATCTTCTGGAAGTGGAAAGGGATGGTAATTTTGGGAGCCTTGGTTCAGTGTATGTGGAAGCAGAGGTCACTGCTGCCGTGATGTCGCTTCTAGTCCTTGGAGACACGTTGGAGCGGGGGGGGCTTGGGCTGGTGTGTTTGAGGTCAACAAAAAGTTGAGACACTGGCGGTAACTGGGTCATGATAGTTGTAGTAGTATAGTTGTTACTGAAAACAGTCGTAGGGTTGCAAGTCCAGACCAGTGTTAATGGGAAGGGAACGGGTAGGTATATATAGCGATATCAGACACAATATCTCCAGCATGCACCCGAAGTCAAGCCATTTAGACCTAGAGGTACATGCATGAATGCACATGCATAGACGCACATACAGACGGGGTTATTTAACCTGGTGCGTCGGCTGTGCACGCATGCGCCGCTTAGGAGAGAAGATTTACACATGTTACAGCACGCTCTAGCCCTTGTTATTGCAGTCGTAATGACGTTCAGCGACGCGCTCTTGGTGCCCGCGGCCTTTTGGTTCGAGGAATCACCCTCCTAACAGATACACAGGAACTTGTTTGGTTTCAATTTCACGACATTTCTCAATCGCGCTCTTAGCTCCGGGTGCAGGGATCTGCGTTTAAGGCCAGATACATTGGGTGACGACCATGCACATCCGCTTTGTTCGTCTCGGCCTTAATCCGATCTAGCATGCAGCTACTAGCGTTCAGCTGCTGCGCATGTCGCTGTGCAGGCTTTATCAGATATTATTCAACGAGAATTTGAAAAAGCAATTCAACATCTGACTAACTATGTTTGGAAAGCAAGGTTGCTATTATCTGCATGCACAGCGGGGATCTGACGACTAATGGGTTTAACTACAACCTTGAGCTAAATAGAAGTTAGATCGCCCATGGGGTGCACTTCATGACCATCTAAAATTTACTGTTTTGTCCTGGGAAATTAATCTAGATAGTTCAGTGCGTGAGAGGTGAATCAGGTTTCAAACACCACCTTTATTTTCCGAGTCAGAAACCGTGAATTATTGGGATTCAGGATGTACTGTCCGGTGTTGCCACAGAGCTCAGCCTTAAAGTGTCGCGGTCGTGCAAGTAGTGTAGGTACCTCATGTGGGGCACTATAACCGAGGCCGGTTATCAGGACATTTTTTGCATAATGTCTGTATGCTTTGATTTATCTAAATTCCAGAGACTTTCTTTTCTTCCTTGATTTCCTTCCCTTCCCTTCTCTTTCTTCCCTTTCTTCCCTTTCTTCCCTTTCTTTTCTTTTTTTCTTCTATTTCTTCCTTTTCCTCCCTTTCTTCTTTTCTTCCTTTTCCCCCTTTTCCTTGTTTTTTCCCCTCATTTACGGAGAACCAGTGGCAGCGATGAAACCTGGTACGCTTCTGGACACCTTCTAAAAACATTCTAACTTGTTTGATTCAAGCTAATTATAGATAGCAGTGGATTTACAACGGCGTTGCATTCGAACCACGCCAAGATCCCACAATAAAGTAAGCATGGTTAAAAGATTCATTGTTAACATTCTGCATTGCAGGGATCGGCGCACCGACAATGCGTACTACCGAGAGCAATCTGCTTCGTGGTACTCGTAAATGCAGCTTTCTTTGTTGCACCTGTACTTTGAACCGGCTCAACAAGGCAAACGCGTCATGGCAACATTGGTCATGACTAAATAGAAGGGATAAGCTCTGCACGCAACGTGAGATTGGTATGCAGCGCTAGTCTTCGTCAAAAAAACGTGCCTGTTTACTGATGAATGGTTGGTGTGGCGGATACCCTCATAGATACCAGATGTAAGGGGCCTAGATGTTTTGGCCTATCCAGTTCGAGAAACAGGCAAGCCGTATGCAGAGTCCTTACCTACGCACGTTTCCGTCGGGAATATGATCTCCGATTTTTGATGTGTAGGTTTTAATAACCCTGAACCTTGATAATGCTGATGAGGTGAGTGTCTGGTCAGCTCATACCTTTTTCAGTCATACCTTTCTCAGTGGTGTAATGTCTGAAGTTGGTCATTGTTGCGGTTTTGGGGCATTATTAGTCTGACGTTCGTGAACGATGATTGGAACCTCTAAGACGAAAAAAAAAAGATTACGTAACCATTCTGGTATAATTATATCGTATACATATGTCACATGCATACAAATCGGGGACCTCCATCTCTAATTCCAACACCACGACAAGGAGTCGCCTGCGCTCCAGTAATAAATTGATATTAGCGTGTATATCTTATATTTATAAGCCGCACCTTTTTGCGCCTCATTAGTATTATATAGTCCACTACAAATCTGTAAGGTGCGACGGAGCCTCACTTAGGCATCGTTTAAGCGTCTTAGCTATAGCACGTGCGTCTACATATGCCTGAGCGTGATCGACATTAGACGCAAATGTAAGCCTATTTCCGCGCTAGTGTTTGCACTGGTATATATATATGTTGTCGCTTGCACTTATTTCCAGCCCACATCAAAATATAGCCAGCATGAACATCAACATATCCATGTGCTAGAGTTAGTATCGGTAACTACGGTATATATGTAGCTAAATAATTATGGGCCGGTAACCAAAGAATATGATATTCATCTATGATATAAACAATATCCATACAGCTAGGCATATGTATTCAGGTATAACATATATAATGTAGTCAGCTATGGTGTATGCAGCTACAGGTTGTGAAACTTATATACGCATACAAGCGATTCCTGCAGAGCGAGATGTGTGTACGACTCGTCGTCGACACCAGAGTTTTGCGTTCGCCCATTAATTTAAAAGTATTCGTGGTCAATCACGATCGCGAAAACAGAACCTAAAGCTAGAATCGATCCTGCTTTGTAGAAAGCTTGTCGGCGCATTTAATAGCCGGCCATCACATACGGGCTCTTCGTACCATAGGGCCGAGACAAGTGTCTCAGTTGGTGAAGAGTTAATACTCCCACATTGAGCCAAATGGCGCCTCACAATCCCGCGGAAAAATTCATATCCGTACGTTTATTAGTGCCTATTCCCTACGGCGGCCTAGTTACACGAGCAGAACCCACCGGGAAAACCATATAGGGGCTACAGTATATTCTCCCATAGCAGCACGAGCCTTAGTAAACCGACACGGGTGTGGTTCGAAATAGGGCACATATACCCGAGGTCAAAAAGCTGCAGATAAATTCCTGTTCTTCTAAAACCCGTCGTGTAAACGCAGAGGAATAAACTTCCAACCAGATGCACCCACATGCACAAGAAAAGAAAGTTGTAGGTGGTTATGAGCTAGATTAAAGACGTGGGATATCGAGGCATTCGGGCTCCAAAGCATAAGGCTGGGTTTTACGAGATGGACCCGGCACACTTGTAGTTACAGGCTATACTATACACCCACATGTTGTACTGCAAGTATTAGGAGACTTTCCCGCATGACGCGCCTGCCTCTATCGCAAGTAGCCGTAGAAGCTATTGGTGGCTACTACTTAAAACAAGGAGTATCATTCCCAGCCTATCCTCGTATAGGTGTCGGATAAGACACGGCGTCGAAGAAGTGATGACTTCCAAGGCAACAATAGTGAACGCATCTACAGTGTGTAGAATAGCTAAGCCACCCATCAATAGCCACCCATGAGCCTTATTCAGCTTTAAGGCCCTGAGACGGGCATTGATAGCTACACCGCGGGTAGTTCCGACAGGGATTTGGCAGCCAGGGATAGTGCTACGTTTGAATCTCGCGTCACGCCCGGAACCCCGGGATGAAAAATACAACCGAACCAGTAATCCTTGCCGGCCAGGGGGAAGAACGACTAAATGCACGAGAAATGTACCCCTAGAATAGGGTTCGGCCAGGAGGAATTTCATCAATAAGCCTACAGCATAAATCCACAGATGAAACGCGATAGCATGGAGGGTGACCTAATCCTGGTATTCGTCTAAAAGATATACCGAGCTCATAAAATGGACTTGATGAAAATGCAGAGCTGCGCCATTGGAGTTGCAAACGTCAATCCAGGTGGCATTAGTAGTCCATAGACAGACCGGTAATCGGTGGCTAATCTACGAGGACCAGGGAGCTATCCTTTCAAGCGCGCCCAATGGGGGAAATAGTCCAGGATAGTTGCCGGATATCTAGTTTATACTGCAAACGTGTCAGTTTCACAAGATATCAGTATCTGAAGCGCAGTCATGTGATTAACGAAAGTCATTTATACGTCAATAATCTTTGCTCTCTTCGATGTACCTCATACAGAAAAGGCAAAGAGTTGGGTTATATGGCACTCGAAAGATAACGCCGTAAAGACCATCCAAGGAGCTGAGGCAAGGCACGGCTTATCGAACGTGACATTTGTCTCGGCACCCATTACAATAACCTATCGCATTTGAACCTTATCGTGGCCTCCCTCGAACGTTCCTCCAATCACCTCGGCCCTGTTCAGAATGTAGATTTCTTGGCATATCTACCGGCATTTGTCTTTAATTCATAGTGAGAGATAGATGGCTTGATGTGCATGACTGTGATAATTGCTATTTTATTTATGTCACCCGATCAAACGCAGACTAGGATCTTCCTATGAAATCTATTATTCCCTGTCATCCTCGTCAATTTTATTTTCAGCCGTTATCCCCAGCCGTTAATCCCGTTACCTTGCGGCTGAGCATGTCCAGAATGAAGGCCTGGTCCAGGGTTATCTTGACTGTCACGCACTGTATTCATTGTGGGAAGAAGACCTTAGGGCCAATTACACAAGATGAACAACTGTCATTCCACGAATCTTGATCTGGGGGAGCCCAATACGCCTAACGGACCCCTACTAACATCCACGTCAGAATGATTACAGACGACCAGAGAAGCCATCAGTGGGTATACACGAGAAGGAACTCGGTTGGTACCAACCTCACATTCAAAATGACCGAAATTATGTAAAGTTCAAACATGAGATACCTGTAAGGGCTGCAAGAACCCCGCGGATAAACAAAGTTAACTGCTAAATCTCCGAATTTCTTCTAGTTCTCGGGGCTCTTAAACAACCACTTCTGGCCGGTATTTTTACAGTGTTTCTCGCCGATACCCATACCAACAAAATCCGCTGGTTTCTCTTACCATTGTCACTAGTGGTTCGCTGTTCAAACAAAGCGCTTGGTCCTTTGAATGCGACTCAGATCTTACAACAATAGAAAGCATTTTTTCAGTGATCTGCACAAAAACGCGAGATCGGTCGCTTAGACGACCGGGGTACTAGTACAGCCAGCGGCTTCACTAGTTTCAAGCGGGGCTATGTACACCAGGATATTTTGACGAGTTTTCCTTACAGGGTTCGTTATTATGGGAGATTGTACATTATGGTTGAACGCACTTGAGCAAAAACCCTAATACCCCATGCTCGGTATATCTCCGCATATCTTCGCTAAGGCAACAATATTCGCGTGTATACCACGGTCGGGCGCATGCACTGCGAAATTTCTTCCTCGCCTCGGTTAACAGAGCCGACCGCACACAAGGGGATGCTTTGTACGCCTCATACTCCAAGCCTGGTCCGTGTACTGCGCGTTTGGTATCACTCAGAGGCATTACTAAATAGAAATTCTTAACTGTCGTCGTATTGACCGGCGTTGTATTATGACACAGGGATTATATCGTCGCTGCTCGATAGTTATATATTGACGCACAGCGGCTGAAAGGCGTTCTGGACCGGGAAGGTACGCGGAAACTTAGATACCACTGGATGTAGACCACACGCAAAGCAGCGTTGATTCTGATCTTGCGGGGCCTAGCCAGTATAAGGCTCATCAATACATGGTTTGTATTTAGCTACAGGCGTATACTAAGTGCTTGCTCTGATCGTACATCCACCTATCAACCGCTTTTGTTCTCAGTTTTTAGCTAATTTCGTATCGAATTTTTTACATATTAAGGAAACAGTATTTTCATTTCTGTGGTCGGTGATTACCCATCCCGCAAAAAAGAAAGGGATATATAATATCTTCTATAAAATTGAAGTTTCAATAGGAAACTGGGTAATGCCATACCAACCTTTCTGGCTTCGAAACACCCTTGTCCAAAATCACCGTTGCAAATAAACGACGCTATATCCGATTACACCGGTGGTTTTATCCATGAAATACGCGTCAAATGGATTACCACCCTTGCGTCTGTTTATATCAGTTTCTTCCCGGTTTGGAATTGCTAATCTGGTAATATTGCTTTACTTATGTACCCGACAGTAGAGCCGGTCTAAAGACTTGAGCATGGTGCCGGCTTGGAAACACCATGCTACCCAAGAAAACCACTAAGGACAAGCGTAATGCTACAGCAGTGGTTTTAGTCTCAAAATATGTAATGGCGATAAATAATGGCACGTACAAACTAAATTCACTGTCACTATTGTTCACATATCGGTAGAGAACATCTAAGCACACTCAGCAGCAATGGTTGCTGGATTAAGACTATCGGTTCTATAGTCAAGGTTATGTCGATCGACTCTTGGCGATGGTTTCAAATGTCTTTTCCGGCATTTTTTTTCCCACCCCCCCCCCCTGGTTCTACTTTTCCGAGTTTCGCTCCCCCGGGTTCTACTCTTCCAACTCTTCCGGGTCAAAGTCTTCCTTCGGATCCTTCGGCTCCTGCGCCTCGGACCACTGTGTGACATCATCAATATATGACAAGATGTTAGCCACACTGTTGCTCTCATCGTCCTTGGTGTTACAGTTCAATGGCAAAAACTGAACCATGCCGAAATCATCAACCAAGTTGGCAATCGCGCGGTTCAACTTGGCAAACCTAGGGTTGGTCTTTTCATTAATGTCGCTGGCCAATAGCATCGGGTCGGGGTTTAAGAACTGCTTCAACTCACGTTTCGCGACCTGGGTCTCTACGAGGTCCACCTTAGACAAAATGTTGATGTGTGGCAATTCCAATAAGATCATCGCAGACATCGCAGACAAGGCGCCACTGAAGAACTTGGAGCGGTCAATCACGAACGGCGCCTCCAACAAGTAGGTTGCGCAGAGACTGAAGTTCAACTGCGACGTCAAGTGCTTGACGATCGTGGGCAAGATCGGGATGTGCGTGTAGAGTTCAATCTGGCCGGGACAGTCAAAGATGAGGTACTCGTCGTTAAAGTCGCCGATCTGCTCATCGAGCCAGTCCAAGTTGTTCATCAAGAATTCGAAGCAGTAGATGAGTGCCCCGTTCGGGCCCAAGTTCATTTCCTCCTGGACATCTTGGAGCGAGATAAGGTCACGGATATCAATCGTAAATTCGTACTGCGTCGCATCCGCTGCTGGATCCAAATTAACGATGTGCGCCCGTCTCCCGATGGATTGCATGTGTGAGATGATGGAGTTGCAGAATGTGGACTGGATTGTTAGTATGGCACTGAATGATAAACTCAGGTACGTACTTTACCGACCCCCGCGGGGCCTAACACTAAAACACCAACACGGGACATTGTAATATAGTTGGAGAGATGAGATAAAGAGGTACAGAGACCAAGCGACGATGAAAAATTGTATCTATCAAAATATTTTCGCTGCGGCGCAACCGGGCGTACAATTCCGCGAGATCGTAAATTAGTCAGCATATTCCGCGAGATTGAAATTGGCACCATTCCGCGAATCCTCCGGCACCTTGTTTACCAACAACAAACGCATCAGAAAGCGAAACAACCACGATCCCTTTAAAGCCTTGAAAACTCTTCAGTACAGTTACACCTTTGCCATCGTTTCAGCGTACAAACCTCCATTCGCCACCACCTCTACAAATATTTGTTCTATACAGACCTGACAATCTTTGGTATACAGGTTATCGATATTTATCCATTACTTAATAGCCTGGCCATCCGACCTTACTATTCTAATAACCCTTACTATGTCGTTCGACGCGTTATCCAGCTGCATCACCACCTTGCAGTCATCTGCCCACCTGTTGCAGAACTCCCTTGATGTTTTGGACGGTACCACTCATGACATGTTGCGCTTGTCCGCAGTGCTCAATAAAAAGACCTTTTTCCAAGTGAAGCCACAGTGCGACATCGACGACATCAAAAAAAACCTCTCTGCAGAAATCACCCCCAAGATCTCCACCACGTTGGCAAAACTTGAAAACGAACTCAGCCGTTTACAGCGCAAAAAGATCAATCTCATCAATAAGGCAGACTTGCAGCAGATCCGCATCGAAAACCTCAGCTCGTACAAGTCAGCCAAGAAGCCATCAAAGGTCGTCAAGGGCAGCGATCTCCAGGTCTCCCGGTTAAAGTTCCTCCAGAACAAGAAAGACCGCTTGAAGTACAGCTTAAACCGCTTAACGAGGCGAAGTCCTAACCCAGACGGGAATTCGTAAGCCAACAGTGACCTCTGCTCGGTGGAACATGTTCTAGCTTTGAAAGAAAACCAGACGGTAAAATTAGCAATGCAATGGCTGCAAAACTGAAACAATAGATGGAAACGGGGAGGGGGATGAATGCCGATGATTATGTATCCCTCTGTCCGTTCCAGGGCTTTTGCTTCGGGAAACTCAAACTATCAGCGATGTAGCGTCTCTCCTGTGTTGCCGTCCTTTATCTTTGGTACGGCCACCAAGTCGAGCCCTTCATTGATAGTCTAAACTTGTCTCCCCAATGTGTTATGAATTATAGATTGAAACTGGCCACAGTCCGAACGCAGTTGCTCTTATTGCTACTTATAGTTTGCCATCTACGACATGATAGAAACCCGAATCAATTGTAAACCCCTATTCAAGCTTATTGAGATGCAACTTACACATGTCCACCACCTCTCTGTTTAGGTCCTCCGCGACACGCTTCCGTGCGTTAAAGACATCATCGCGCTCCATCTCCAGCAAACAATGCTGCAACCGCGCGCGACTCTCGTCCAACACATCCATCAAAATCTCTTTGATCATGAGATTCGACTTTGGTTTGAATACCGCACCATCGCTGACCCCGTCGAGAAGACACTTCAACCGTCTGTCCTTCCAGAGATCAATTCGAGGATCGTTTGCCACGTCGTACTGGAGCACTGCAAGGCACACCTCGGTGCGGAACGAGATCTCCTGTGCATTCAACGTGTACTCACCCAAGTAGTGTTTGTCCCCAAGAAATGTCTTCTGGGCGGCGGTCAACTTGCTGGTGAGCTGGCTGGTGATGTCCAAGTCGTTCCATTCATTCTCGAGCAACTTGAACCCATATTCGCATAAGAGAAACTCGTTGGAGTGGGGCCCGTAACTGAGGTAGATTTCGCAGTTCTTGCTGTATGTCACGTCGGAGCCGGTGAGCACGGAGAACCCGGTGATGGGGTGGATGTCCAAGATGCACTGGCCCTGCGAGCAGTGATTGATAAAGTCCACGTATGGGCACATGGTGAAGTTGGACTCTGTAGATTTGGACTCGGGGATAGTCATGTACAAGCAACGCGAGTTGATGCACATCCAGGCCCACAAAAAGTCTGACACCGGCAAGAAGCTCTGTACTGTTTCTGACGTATTTAGTTTAACAAGCTGGGTTTCGATTAGCTCGCTCACGGTTTTGTAGTCTGCGTCAAACTTGTCTCGCATCTTGCAAGCGTGTTTCTGGGTAGACGGAGGCAAGTTGTGGAAGAGCTCTTTAGCGTGGCGGAGCTGATCTCCCGTGTGTGCCAGTGTTTCCAAGCTCCAGATAAATGGAACGAGTTTGAAGTCGTCCATTTCAGGCAAGCAGTCGATAAACGGTTTCCAGAACGAGGCACTCCCTCTACCCCTTTCGACCGTGAGGTACATGGCCATGATCTGGAAGGATGTGAGGGTAAGTAATTCCTCGTAGGATAAGGACTTGTATACCTCAATGAGGCAGCTGTTTTCTGGCTCGGTGGAGGGTGGCTGGAGCTTGTGATACTTGTGAAGAACTCTGCTCTTGGCAGCATCCTGGGAGTCATGCAGAAGAATGTGTGCAATGATGGTGGAATGGTTCAATAAGAGGGAATGGGGCACCTGGATAAGCTTTTCGTTGGATCTGATCGCTGCATTGGCGAAAATACCCCTCCCGGCGTACTCGGTGGCTTGGATTTCAAGTTTGGGGGAAATATATGTGGCATCCAGCAGTAACGTATCCAGATACTGCATCCACGCGAGCAAGTCATTAACTTTTTTATCCTTGATCTCGGCCATTGGAAGGTATGAGGTGGGCCCAGATGTTTTTGTGATGGGACATAATCGTAACCAGGTTTGAAAAATTGTGGATATAGCTGTATGCAGGTCTACTCCATAAATGACAGAGGGCCAGAGAAACCACTACACTTATCATGTCCATCATTTCAAAGTTACGTCTTTTCACTCTGCACAAGACCAGAGGGCAAAATAAATAACCTTCCCCGAAATATACGCGAAAGGACAAACGATAAGGAAGGCATTGTGAGATGAAGTGCAGGCTGGATGTGCATCATCGAGGACGCCAACCAGGCGCTAATACACCAAAGTTGTAGATACAACCACTCCTTTTGGCAAAACCAAAGGTTGTAATAATGGATCACTGGCAATGAAGTTTCCCCTAGAAAGCGGGAAATTTGAACGTTGTATAGATAAGCCGTGACGTGGTTTATATGCAAGCTCGGAGATGTTTCTCCGTACTCTGTTCAACAACAAATCTCCCGGGTAATAGTAAAATAACTGCTTTTAAATACCTTCCAAGCTCTCTTAGATTCAAACTGTCTCCTTTTCTAAACATCCCCCTTCTTTTGTTTCTGCCCGCTTCCTGGGTTATCTCACCCAACGTTTCGAGCTGCAGGTGAAATTTTTAAGTACAGGCCGCTACTTCGACATCTCTCTCTTCTCCATCACGAGTCCAGCTATGAACAAATTAATGCTTACCCAGGTAGTTACCCCAAACTTCTACCGCTACATCTCCACCGAAGCGTGTAAAGTGGTGAAGCCGGTGCGGGAAGCGTCCAAGACCTTGCGCCACATCCATTTCCCTACCCGGAGACCGTACACCGAGGGCTTGGAGATCCAGGAGAAGTTTGTGCGGGCAAATCTCGACTTCAAGCTCATGGAAGCAAAGATCTCGCGACACCAGAAATCTGTGGCCGAGCAAGGCTACGTGCTATCGGACTACGAGTCGGAATTACTTGCTAAGATCGCGTCCTTGAAGCCTTGTCCCACGGTGCTCACCTTTGAGTTCGAGCCAACGTACACCGGTGGAAAGCGAGAAAAGCAGAACACAACCGCCTCGGATGTGGCAAAGTATGAAGCCAAGGGTGCCCAGTACGTGCAGGTGGAACGCGGTGGACAGGTGACGTACCACGGCCCGGGTCAAGTGGTAGCCTACCCCATCCTTGACTTGAAGTCTTTCTCAAATCTTTCCCTCAAATGCTATGTTTCAAAGCTTGAAAAGGCGATTCAGGCTGTGTTGTTGAGAGGTAAAAACTATGCGAGTGGGAGCAGTACCCGTGAGTTTGGCATCCAGACAATTACCACCACCGATACCGGTGTGTGGGCAAATGAGGAGGAGAAGATTGCGGCCTTGGGGATCAATGCTCGAAGATCGATCACGTCTTTCGGGGCTGCCATAAACGTTGCGACGGATTTGAGATACTTGAACGATGCAGACTTGGTTATGTGTGGCTTGAGTGACAAGACAACTACCAGCATGGAGGCCTTGGGCGTTCAGAGTTCAGTGAAAGATGTGGCCTTCTGTTTTGCCAAGGAGTTGGGAAACATCTTGGGGGTCGAGAGGGTGGAGCACCTTGACGGTGACGAGTTGAAAGTGGACGGGGAAGAGTAAAAGATAAAATATTTATTGAGTTTACTAGTGTCAAGCGGGGATGGAGTGATTAATGGACTGTAAGGAGGTGTATGTAATAAGCATTGGGAGTAAAATACCCTCAATGCGATATTGGACTGTTCTAATGAATGGTTGTTAAACGCATAACGTCCATATCCTAGGTACGAGAATGTACCAGAAGTGGAAAATTACTAGCCAAACCTATTTAATCTTAGGATCAGACCCATTACCACCGTTTTATAAATATTAATAAGTCTGAATGATTCGTAACGAACGGTTATATATTCATGAGACGTGTGCTGGATCCCAATCCATCCTAAGCCTTTGCCTTTTGTAGTCTTCTCATCTGTCTCAAATCTGGCGGAGGTTCTTCAAAGCCCAACAGCTTTCGCAACTCCCCTGTATCCATCTCCAAACACTCTTCCCAATACACATTGATCAAGCTCTGCCCGTTTAACCCATTCTTGATGGCCCATGGGTAGTAGACCCCCAACAAGCGCTTCAATTGAGGCTGTTTCAAGCGTAACGGCGCAAAGACCGCGCCCATCCCGGCAAAAGGAAGCCCCAAGTTTGCAAACTCGAAGCACTTAACGGTGATTTCGCCCTCCAAGATAATGGGCAACCCGGTGATGGCGTGATAGAAGTCGTGGCACTCGCGGTATCTTTGAAACACGTACGCTAGCTCTTCATCGTCGATGTACTTGACAGCTTCACGGGTATCTGGAGATACCCCCTCACTATCCAACCACTGGATGTAAGTATTTCCGAGGGTACTGGCGGGCAAAGACCGCAAATGCTCGAGGTTCAACGACGTAGAGGTCATCCGCGGCCGCTCTCTGAGGATACGGCGCCCGGTTGGGTTCGCCAACATTTCGCGGCGCAACTTCTTTAAAACCGATGTGATGGCTGTGGATTCACCCAACGCCACGATAAATTCGTTTCTTTCCGGGTGAAAGAAGGCGCCTACTGCGGAACCCACGAACAACGCAAGCTTTTCCGCCGAATGCAAGGGTACATGGCCCAAGTAATTTGGCTCGGGTCTCTTAAGCCAGGGTTCCTCGGATTTCGCAAGATTGAGCTCCGTATTGGCGTTCTTGTAGTGGAGCTCGCCACGCTCCATTTGGGTAGCCAACGCCGTGGACTCGACAAACGGCGCAAACACACTCTTGAGAGCACCAATGCCCAAGACACTGAGAATGAATGTCCTGCGATGAGCTGGATGCCGTACCAAGCGGGTAGATGTGAGCATTTCGCGAGAGATGAAGTGGAGGGCGTGGAGGAGGGTGCGGGAAGGTCTGGATCGGACGGTTTTGTATCCCATGGGGTGACTTGCAGTTGGAGCACGTGATCGGCCATATATCACTTCGAGCCATATTATCATATGTAAGCGAAATTGTCCTTGTTTAGGTTTTTGATTGCAATAGGTCAAGTATAGGCTATGTTTGTAACCGCTAAGGAAAAAAAAATTGTGTGGTTCCAAGAAATGGTTGGTATAGAAGGTTAGGAAGCGATAGGGTATAGGTGCCGAACGCATTGATATCCGATGTATAAAACCAGTACGTGAACATATCAACTGATCCGAGTAGAAAAGCCAAAGGTTGCCATTCACAGCTCTAAAAAGATTCTCACATGTATTGTATATCGTTCAAATGAGGCTTGTTTGTTTTGGTGAGTTGATAACTTCAAATAGGAACCATCCAGTTGGTCTACAAGTCAGAATCCAACCAACCACTTAACATGATTGGTTCCACCCTCTATGAAAGGAACTGGTCAATTTCTGTCAGAAGTATACTCGAAGTGGTCATTATTAAGGCTCTGGTTGTGATCAGTGCAACCATAGGATGTGTTTGCTCCAAGTAATAGCCGCAGTATTTGGTATACAAATAATCTCCTTTCAAAATTTGTAAGTTCTCAAAGAGGCCATTAGTAGCTCTTCTTGGTTTGGACGGGATATTTATCATTAGCTCCATATAGTGTACTACAATGCAAGAATGAGTCTACCGGTCTAGAAATGCTAAAATAAAATACAACCCTTTATTTAATATACAATTGTGGAGTCACCTTTGTACTAAGTGTGGAGAAAACCTCTTAGAGTTCGTCGGGTCCAGGGACGCTATTTGGCACCACCAGAAACCCTCCTAGGCCTAGAGGTTGTTCCGTTCCAGGGAGACGCCATTTTCCCCTTGGTATCATCAGGAACCGCTTCTGGTTCCTAGAGATAGCCCTTGGTGGTCTCCAACACCTTGATACTCCTCTTGGCGTCCAAAAACAACATCTCACACTCCACCACGTCATCCAACGTGATCTCCTCTCTCCCACTGACCTTTGCCAAAACGCCTGCCGGTGTCAACAATTGCAATACGTATCTCAAACTGGACGAGATCCCCTTGGCAGACAACTCGGCCAAGGCCTCCTCGGTCAACGACAACCCCTCAACCTTTGCTCTCTTGCTGATGATTGTCTTCATCTCCAGCTGCGCGTACGGCAAGGTTCTGACAATCAACAAACGGTCGATCAAGTCCGGCGGACAGCCATGGGGCCCCTTAAAATCCATGTCTTCGGACCCTCTAACGGTGGTCATGCCTCTGTTCGACGCAAGAATCACGATTGGCGCAATGGCAGACTCCAAGGCACGGTTCAAGAAGGTGAAGCACTCCAAGTCGAGCATGTTGACCTCGTCGATGAACAAGACACCCGGCACCAACTCTGCGACACCCTGATCGATGTACTTGGACACCACGCGGTTGACCTCAGTGCGCAACTTCTCCGTCACCTCGGTCTTGCGCGGACGAATCACCTGCGACATCATCGATAACACGTCCTGACCGCCCTGGGGCTTGGCGTTGGCCATGTCGAGATCGTGCAAGGTAATGTCCTGGACGATTTCCTTCTTCTTGTGCACGTCACCCTTTGGTAATGGCACGTACTCCTCGGCCTCCAAGTCAAACTCGGTGGCGTAAGCGTCGGAGCGGCCCACCCGCTTAACGGCACCGGTGTTGGACTCGATATAAATAACATCACCAACGGACACGCGCTCCTTTTGGATGGATTCGTAGATAGACGGATCTAAACGCAACTGCTTGGTCCCCTTGGCGGATTTCAACCCCACGAGCACGTGGCTGATGGTCTTTCCGTACCCACCAAGCGGGTTTTCAGCCTCCTCTGGCGTCAACTCGATAACCTCCCCCTCGTAGACCTCCTTGGTTTCCTTGATACGCAAGCCAATGGCTCTGCGAAAGTTCTCCATCAACGCTTCCGTCTTCTTGACCTCAGCGCTGTACAACTCGGACCCGACAATCGGGCAGAACGGCACCTTTGGGCCCAATTCTTGCGACACCGCGAGCGCCAACGCGGTCTTTCCGGTCCCGGGACCACCAGCAAGCAAAATCGCCTTACCAGCCATCTTTTTGGCCTTGATCAAGTCCACAACCACGCCGCATGCCTCACGGGCCTCGTTCTGGCCCACAAACCCGCCGTCAATGGTGCGCGCAACCCCGTGTTCGTCGAGCCCGAGGCCCTTGATGTGGGTGTGAGCCGCGGTTCTCGTTTGTGTCTCGCGGGACGCCTGGGATTCTTTAACTTCAGAGATCTGGACCATCGTAGTGTGTATGGATTGGAAGAAGAGAGCAAGATCGGTAATGTTGAATTTCTGGCGGCTATTTTTTACAGGATTTGTGCGAAGGAAAGTGGTGCAGGCACGCAGTGGCAACCCAAAACACGGTTCAACCCTAATGGAGGAGATGGGTAGACAATTAGATCTCAGGAAGTTGTTAACGGTAGATTAGGTCAATATCCTAATGGAAATCATGCAGGTTATATTTAAATAAATCAAAGAGCTTTGGACTCAAAGGGGTGGTGACTAAATAAAAAAAAACTAGTCCTGCACTCAGGAATGGTTTAGCCTAAGGCATGGGATTTGGCGAAATACGGCTTGGAATGTTACAGGGATTTCAATGCATTCCTGATATACAGAGTGCTGTACCATATTTAAGTCATACGTCGGGATTGCTAAATGGCTAATAAAAAGTCACATGCCGATGGAGTTGGTTGACACTGTATCAGAACTCGGAAATATAGTCAAGGGGTAGAAAATTTATGTTGAAGGACTAAGATGGAATAATTATTAATGTTTTATTAGACGCTAAAACTTGCATTTGCACAACAGCGATTCTTTTTTGATGGCCAGGTTTCAGTAAAATTGGTATAGATAATAAAAAAAAAGAAAAAAAAAAGTCTGAATATACCCCACTAGTCTCATAGCTAGCGATAAACTTCTACATGGTTCAAATGCGGTACATTCACGTCTCTGGTGTACTACGAATATTGAACTATTTAAAATTGCAGTTGACTTGGGAATCGACATACCTATAACAGGTACGTAATACGACATAAATTATCTTCTTTCAGTACGTAATTATCACTTGAATTTATGTTTCACTTAGATCTATGTTTCACTGGGTACATACGATAACAGGAAACACTAGTTTTGTAGAATACAAGTCTTGAAAAAATCTCCGCTAGACTTATGTGTTAACGAAAACCACGCTCGTGGCCCAAACCCTTCTGCACGCTAGTTCCCCAACTCCGCGCATTCCGTAAGGAACTCTTCTGCGGACACCACTGCAGTGCTCCCGTACACTACATGCTTGGTGCCGTGGGTCTGACCGTGCTTCCCAGCGGTCCACTCCTTCAAATTCTGGTACTCCAAGTAGTTACCACCGCCCACCACAAACACAATCCCGTCGGCATAGCTTATCTTGACCGGCTGACGCGTTGCGCCGCCGCGTGCCATTTTCGGGTCAAAGTACAAGTAACCGTCGGTCGCGGCGCTCGGCTTAGAGCTCGGCTCCATGATGGACTCCACAATATCCGTGATCGGCATGTTTGAGTTTTCAGGCAATAACCGCTTCAACCCCGTGAGCAAACTTCCTACCCCCTCAGTGAGAAGCCCGCCGTCGGTCAAACCCATGAGGCGTGATGAAAGACCACTCAACGCACCAGCCGGCGCAGGCGCGACGTCGCGTGCGGCAAATGTGCGGCTCATCTTTGTAAGCTCCTTCGCACGGCGTACGTGACGCAATGCAGCCAAATCCGCACCTTGTGCCTCAAGTGCGGCCTCGCACTTCGTGACATATTCCGCGGGAAGGTCCGTCCCCAATGTCAACACCATGAACGTGCGCAACTTATCACTGACGGGCGCGGCGGTGTCTTGCACAAGCTCCCAGAACTGCGCCTGAGTTTTGGGCCCGGTGCCCTGCTCGATCTCAAAGAACCGATCGAGCTTGCGCGTCTCCAACTCCGCGAGCAACGCCGCGAGCACATTCATGTGCATGTCAATGATGTTCTTACGCGCAGCGAGTTCGGGCAACACCAGGATTGCGTGCTGGATACGGGCGGTATCGCGCGCACCGTCGAGATCGTGCACGTCCGTGTCGGCTGCGGTGACGGCCTGTGCGCGCGCCTTGTACGCGGCCAACTCGCGCTCCACGTTCTCAACCGCGTCCGGGAATGGCAAAGCGGCGTTTGCGGCCCAGAAAAAGTCGCCCGGATCCACGTCATACTTGCGCACCGTACGTGCACCATCCTTCGTCTCCGTGAGTGTGATGGTATTGCGTGCGAGTGCAAAAACGTCACTGATCATGCACTGGTAAATCCACGAGTGCGCGAGCATCGCACGCAAGTCGAAGCTGCGATCAAGCAAAATGAGCACGGGGCGGTGTGGCTGCGCACCCTTGGTATTTGCGACGTGATCGCGCAAGCGCGCGTCGAGCTTGGTCGCGACAAACTCCGCGGGGCCTCCCGAGGGGCAGCGGATCACGGGCATGCTGCCAAGTGTGCTGAGCACATCGAACAAACCAGCAGCGATCTGTGATGTCAACGTGTCAATCTGGGCTTCCGTAGTGACGGCAGAGGTGAATTGGCGATACACGCCCGGGAGTTCAAGCGCAAAGAGGTCCGGCTCGGTCACCACAAAGTCCGCGCACTGGTCGTACACCTGTGCAACACGTGCGGCCTTGCCCGCGACCGCAACCTTTTTCGCAAACTCCTCTAAGAGCGCGCGCGGCAATGCAGACGTGAAATTAACGTACACCGCTGCGTAGGTGTCGCGTTCTATGTCCGCAACAATATGGCGAATGTTATCCACCGTGGGCTCCACAAAGTACACCGCGGGAACATCTGGGAGTGCCGCACGCGGCGCGTTGATAAGGCTGTGTACAGTGATTCCGCAGCGCAACAAGTCGTTCACGCGCATCGTAGAAGACACAATGGCCTGTGAGCGTGTGTCGAGCACTAACGCCTTCCACACCGGCGTGTCCGCAGGGGTGTCGGCGTTCAAGTTGAGCATGCGCTCCAAGCATTCGCGCTGGCGGTCGCGCAACGTCGAAGGCTCTTTAAGGGACATGGTACGAATGTGAATGGGATTAGAGATGAGGTTGGGAGAAGGGCGGGAACATAAAGAGAGGGCTCTGTTTTAACAGGTGTTCGATGTCGCGCGAACGGCGTGCGCACGACTTTTTGAAATGCTGGCTTGCTTTGGCTTTTGCGCACAAGCCCTGGGGCATGTTGCGATTATGCCTGTAAGTAAATTGGGCGGTAGTATCCACTGGATCCTACTGGTATAACAAAGAAATATAATTATTATGCAGTCTAGAATCTCTATTTGTTTGTGACTTTTTTTTTTTATTCTTTCAAGCCTAGACCATAAGCTACTTTCGGGCATTTTTTTGCTATGAAGCGAAAACTATAGAAATGGAATGCACCAACCTTGTAAACATGACTGCACCTCAGGTTGGATTTCACCCAATATACTAAACTTCTGACTGAATCTCCCTTAGCGTACAAACCCCAAACTGTAGCTACACTCAATAAGTTAGAACAAAAGATGACTCTACACCAACCTTTATCAAGAGGCAACGCTATGGCTGTTTATGTGCGTCTAGACATCTAACTTTGGCTACGCTAAGTGCTTCGGGAAATTTTCCAGTCTTAATTAGATCTAGTTCTTGAATTCTATGGCTCGAGGTTGCTCAACAACAATTATGCTCTCCAGTACTGCGCCAAACTGTGCAATCGGTCAATCACTACCGGCAAAAACGCATTCACACTCTCATTGATCAAGTTTTGGAAATGGAGAATCGCCTCCTCTTCCGTCAACTCGAGCGCAAACTTCTCTTTCACCTTCAACACTGCACGTTCCGGTTCAACCTGAATATCAGGAATGTTTGCCCCCTTCATCAACTGGAACAAGTTAAGGATCAAGTTCAGGTTCTTGCGCAACGTCGTGTACGTCGTGAAACAATAATTCTTAAAGATCTTGTAATTCTCAGAGTTGGTTCCTCCCATGCCGTCGACAATCTGGATCGGAAGTTTCATCAACGGCGGAAACGGTTTCGGGTCTGACCCCAAAATGTAGCCGAAATCCGCATGGAAAAAGTGGCCCGTTGGGCAGATGAGTAAGTTGTCCAAGTGGCGGTCACCGACCCCGAGAATGTACGTAATCACACAGTAGCCCGCGCAGGACTTCACATAGTTATCCATCGCCGCCCGTCGCACCCCCAACGGTTCCTCAGGGTCGGGGTTGTGATATTGCAAATAGCCCAAGATTCCGTTGTTATATTGCTTCAATACCGAATCCAAGGTTGTATTCGCCACAAACTGGATTGCCCCCTCTGTGGGACCGGTTGCGAGAATTTTGTAGGGCGTCAACTTCAAGTCGAGGTTTTCGTTTTGGAGCAAGTTATCCATTAGTGTGATGATCTGGACCACCAATTGATCCTGTCGCAAGTCATCACCCACCTTGAACATAAGCGGATACGTCTTGCCGTCCGTCGTGAGAAATGACACCTTCACCGGTGACAAACTGCTCTTGAACACACTACAATCCGGCGGGTAGCACCCGCAGATCTCCACTGTGGGGTCTAGTGGAAGTGGAATGGGCGCAAACGATATCATCTTGTTCTTTGGGTCGGCCAACCAGTCCTGGAGAAACTCCTTCTTCCGCTGGGTGGTGTCTCTGGACCGCTTGACTTCCACGCACAATGCCGTAAGCTTGCGGAAGAGCTCGATCTGGAGCTGGAGCGTCTTGAGATTCAGCTTTCCGTCCTTTTGTGCCTTCATATCCTCCAAGAACCGCTCGAGCGTGAGGGAGTAGATGGAGTCCCTCTGGTCCTCAGCCTCAACCTTCACATACCAGTAGAAAAAGTTGGCGAGCGTAGGGTTCTTGATAGCCCGGGAGATCAAAAACTCCGCGAGCGGAGACAAGCTCGCGGGCTCGACGGGGAGCTCACCGTCCTGGTCGTTCACATCGATGAACGTAAATGCACTCTGGCCTTGAACCGAATCATTAAGCGTGAGACTGTCGTTCTGGGCTGTTTCCGCATAGTTCAACGCCTGTACCAACTGCAACAAGTACAACAAAAGTTCGTGGTCGCTGGCCCTTCCGAGCCGCGTCACCGCGTAGCGCTCCACGCTGTGGTTGTTGAAGTTCGAGGATAAGAGCTCAAGGGCGTCGTCTATCTCGATGTCGCACCAGCTGCTAAGCAAGCCCACCGCCTGATTGACTTCCGCTTGATCCTTCCAGTTGATCGACTTCAAAAACTTGGTCAACCCACGCTTATCACGTGTGAGGTAGTAGCGGAACTTCCAGAGCAAGTTCTTTTCTGAGGTTTTAAGCGCCTGGAGCGGAGAGTAGCTCAAGATTGTGTTGAGTTCATCACGTATGCGCGGCGTCGGCTTCAACTCGCGGTTTAGCGGCCCGTCCTTGTGACTTCTCTCGAGCTTACGGAATTTCATTTCGATAGGATCCTCACGGTACTGGTCCGGGTCAAACACCTTGGGCCGTGCACTCTCGTACGCAAGAAAGCTGGCAGTATGGGGTGCCGCGATCGCGACACTGCGGGGCAACGCGGGGGTCACGTACTTGATGTCAGTAAAAACGATGGGCAAGTCGAAGAGCGCCATGTCTAAAAAGACATAGTAGTCGTTCTCGGGCTTTACAAACGTATCGCTCTTTTTGGCCATGGTTTCAAGCTTCTTGAACACCAAATTATCGAGCCATTCTACCGGGGGAATGTCTCCGTTTTCGTATTCGCGAATTTTCGCCTCCATACGTTCCAACTCGTTTGGGGCACTCGTAGGTTCTGCGGGCAGGCATGCGTTTTCGCGAAATACGCGCACCTTCTGCTTGCCCCTTTTGAGCGTGCAATCGTCGTCGTTGAAGAGCCGGAGCACACACGCGCCAAAGAGGCTCTTTTGGTTAGCCGCAAACTCGTAGAACCGAATGCTCAACTCCGCATCAAAGGGGAGCTGGCTATAGTTGATCGGAAAGCTGAGCGTCTGGTCCCATGTCCGCAGCTGTTTGAAGGATGTGTATGGCGTGGTGACCGGAATTGTGAGCGGCTTGCTGCTGCTGAAGATCTGGGCAGTTGCAAACAAATCGCTTTTATTCGAAACTTCAGATAAAGTCTGGTACTTCTGGGGGTCCAAAGCGCGGCTGGAGGCGGAACAAAGCCGGCTGCTGCCCTGCAAGTGGCGGAGCTTGATCAGCACCGGGATGTTTAGGTCCTTGGATAAGCAGAAGGTGACAGATTTCAGGTCCATCAAAAGTGGGAGCGCGAATGGTTTGAAACAAGGGAGGTTACGGAAGGATTGAGTGAGGTTGGTGGAGGTTTTGATAACAGCCGGTGGAAATCACGTGGAAAAGGTACAATCTGACTTGGTCACGTGATATAAGCACGCGGAACGGGGGTTGGAGGAAAAGATTCTCGGATTGGTTGTGTTTTAATTTCGGAGTTCTCAAAGCATTATCTGAGACTGAGGGGTTTAATGATAAATTTTAAATACATGATTTAATTTATTTTCTAATTTATTCTGTGTATATCCATGAAATGTCTACATGTTATAAACAGCGTCACTTGGTTTACAGTGGCTAAAAATCGTGTACAATGACTGATACGTACAGTGGACTATTTCTCTCGCGCTTCTGGAACTCCCCTTATCAAATAAACAATATATTCATCCGAATAAATTCTTAATTTCTGGTATATAAACATTTTTCTTCTCATACCTTTTATATCAATTCACATCCTCCTTCGGAACAACCTAGCCTCTTACAAAGCAAGTGCGATACCATTTCCTATCAGGCTAAAGAGTCACTGAGCTCCTCTAAATCTCTTTTACACTACCTTGGTCTACCATCGTAAACACTGCTTTGACAGAAAATTATTGAATTTAGACACCTGGAATGTCACTTCTGCCGAAAAGAAAAAAAAAGTTTAGAACCCAAATCTCCTGCAGAACCACTAGAAGCAAAAGATCTTGGTAATCTCGGAGTCCTTACGGATATACTCATGCTGGGCTTCAGTAGGCGTGGTAATGTTGTAATCAGTTTCTCGTACCAGCTGCACACGTCTGATATTGGCAATCTGTTCGGGGCTGTCGATTTCCTGCAACCCACCTCTCTTTGGCGGAATGTGCTTCGCCAAAGTGGCGTCTATCTCGATCTGTACCGGGGTTATCCACGCCTTGTAAGCCTCTTCTGTTTCGTCTTCGTCGTGGTCAGTCTCACTCAGCTGTAAGGCATCGCCCTCCTTTCCCGGAAGAACGGAAGGCTCAAAATCAGAATCGGCTTCCAATTCTTCATCGCCGAAAACTCGCACCTGGGTGAGCTCCTCGCCCATACACCAATTCACACGCTTAGCCTTGGATCTCTTCTTCCGCATGTCAGCTTCGCTGGTTCTCCGTCTCAAGACACTGGCCTTGCCGTAGGATGTCACCTCTGCCGGGTGGTCGCCTTCCTCCATTTCCACCTCTGGGGCTTCCTTTGCCGCAGCGGCGTTGGCCTTGTTCTTGTTTAAGTAATCGAAAATGGAGAATTTCTTGGTTGGAGCTGGCTTCTCGACGAGCGTAGCAGTAACGGGCTTCGGACTAACACTTGGTTGGGACTCTGTTTGCGGCTTAGCAGTGGCAATGTGGATGGCGGGCTTCGTGACAGAAACACTGACAGGCTTGGAAGCAGCAGGCCTCTTCATCTCAAAGATACTCGACGGTCTCTGGACCGCAGGGTTGAGAGTCTCGGCGTCCTCCTTAGCCTTCAGTGTGATATTATCCTGTACAGTTTTGGCCAAGGCAGCCACCTCAGGGTCCTCGTGCTTGACCAAACGCTTGAACAACTTCTCCATTCCCGCCGCGGCGAGTGCGCGGTAAATTTTTTTGTCTTTAAAGTACGTCAAGCAGATCTTCAAGCCCTTGGTGTACTTCATCTTGAAATCGGTTGTCAACCAGCTCTTTAGCTTAAAGAGGATCGACCGGATAAAGTGCGCCTGGAAGTCAAGGTCGTCGATGATCTGGTTGATTTGTTGGAACGCGAGGTAGCGGTAGTCCTTTGCGGTGCCAAAGTCTTCTTTGTTGGAGAACTGAGACAAAAGCTCGATCATCCGGTCCGACAACTTCTTCGGATCTTCCTTCACGAAGTAGTCGCGCTGCTGGACGATCAATCTCCCAAGGATGTCTGATGGAGACAACGTGCTACCAAGCTTGGTCACCAAATTCTTGAGTGTGCTGTCGTAGCTCTCGTTGGTCTTGGTTTCCGCCTCGCGCGGTAACACCATAGAAGCAATCGGAGCAGCGGCCTTGGACGCCTTAGTGGCAGCCGTCTTGGAGGTCTTTGTGGTAGTATCCTTTGTATCCAAAGTTTCGGCAGCAATCTGAAAAGCTGGCCCAGGCGCAACATTCTGTTGTGGCGGAGAAGAGGAGGGAAGCAGATGGTACTGCTGGAGCAACTCCTGGAACTGGAGGTTGCGCTGAACTTGGATCCGAAGCTGGAGCTCCTGAATCTGTGCCGGGGTTAGCTGTGGCTGCATCTGCTGGGGAGTCTGTTTGTATAAAGTAGGCTGATGGCCCGGAGGGTTGTTTTGGATCGCTATAAGCAGGGATTGAGCTTCTTGGCCATTGTTCATTGGCACACTCAAGTCCATTGGTACCTTGCCTTGGTTCGGTATGACCTGGTGCCGCGTGTGTGGATTTCCCTGTTGGTAGACCACCTTCGAAGGGCCAGGGCTGGAAGACTGCCCACTGTGGGGAAGAATTTCCTCGTCTCCGGCCACCACATAGATCATTTCCTCATGGTACTTGGTATCCGCCTTTTGCAAGGACGATTTGTGCTTCTTACTGTCTTCCGGGTCGTTGCTCCCCTTACGTTTCCTCGTCGACGCCAATTTTACGGCGTTCATAGCGTAAATCTGGCCGGCTGGGGTGTCCTGAGGACTCTGAAGGGTATTCATTGGCGGAAGCACACCGCCAAGCATGTCCCATTGGTTGGACTGGAACTGCTGTTGCTTTTGAAAGGCGAGATAGTTAGGTGCAAAGACATTGTCTTGTGGCGAGAAAACCTGCGGCATCATCTGAGGCATCATTTGAGGCATCATCTGGGGTGCCATCTGGGGCATCTGGGACATCTGGGGGGCGTTTGGCTGGTAGTTCATTGGGCCATTTTGCTGGTAGTTCATTGGGGGGTTGAAGTAGGTAGAATCCGTGGTTGTGAAAAACGTTTGTTGAGGGGTATAGAAGCTTTGCGGAGCCCCTTCCAGATCTGGTCCGTTTGCCATGTTTCTTATATAAGGTCTAAGTATTTAGATTTCAAGCCTTTTGGTTTACAGTCTTTCGTGCGGAAAGAAAAAGGACAAAAGAAAACAAAAAAGCGCTATACAAGTCTAGTCAAAAGACTGGGATATTAAATTTAAAACCAGATGGGATGGAAACGGCGTGGTTTCGTGTCGATGGCTTTAAGCGGTGTGTGCTGAAGAAGAGGCGTTTTGAAGTAAACGGTCAGCGGGTAAAAAAAAACGCATTCCCCATTCCAGGGACCCAAACAAAAAAAGGAAGTTAGAGGCCGGGTAACCATAACTATGTGCACGTGATTGGACTCACACGATCATACTGCACTGTTATCAGCTGGCAACGGATTTGACAGGACCCAGAAGCATCAAAATCATGTGATACTGTTTGAATAGAATATCTAATTTACGCCACACTTAGATATATCCATTAATCTGGATCCAGGGCAAATCAAAGCTACGTATCTAACCTACACTTCGCATCTGTACACCTAGTTCCACCGATACTAGTAGTTTCCGCCCCACGCCATTGGCTCTCCTATCTACGCGCTTCGCTCCTATCTGCCTACCTCACTCCTACCTACCCACCAGTAGCTCCATTTACTCATCTGGCCTTACACAGCTTTTAATCACCATACGGGTCTTTCAATAGACCTTACTTCACCTCTCTGCACTAATTTCCGGCCATATTACTTATCTCCGAGCCGTCAAGAATGACATTGTTTTCGGTCAACGCCTCGCACCCCGATCTCACAAAGCCAACGGCGCAGGTAGTAAGTGTGCAGCTTGTGATTGCCACAACTCTTGGGCTCTCAGCGGTGCTCGCATTCTCGGTGCTCCGACGCAAATGGAGCAAACTCTACGCCGCACGACTCACACGACGTAAGGGTTTGCCTGCGATCCCCGCCTCGCTCTTTGGCTGGCTTCCGATGATCTTCCGCATCAGTGAAGAAGATGTGTTGGAGCATGCAGGGCTTGACGTATTCGTGTTCCTTGGATTCTTTAAGATGGCGATCAAAACCCTTCTCGTCTGCTGCTTCTTTGCCTTCACCATAATCTCACCCGTGCGATATCACTTTACGGGGAACATCGACCAGGGCAGGGACGAAGAGGGTTTGAAGAAGAAGGAAGATCCTGTGAGCTATCAGCCCTACTTGTGGATGTACGTCATTTTCACTTACGTATTCACGTTTCTGACCATGTTCTTCTTAATGCGCCAGACGAAGCACGTAGTGCGCGTGCGCCAGGCGTATCTCGGGCAGCAGAACTCCATCACCGACCGCACGATCCGGATCTCGGGCATTCCCCCGGAGTTGCGTGACGAAGAGAGTCTCCTGCGCCACATCGAGTCCTTGCACATTGGGAAAGTCCAGAGCGTCACCATCTGCCGCGAATGGGGGCCCCTTAACCGTTTGATCAAGCAGCGAAACCAGATTATCCGGATACTCGAGGCATACTGGGCAGAGTATTTGGGGTCGACTCCCAAAAGCCTTTCTCTGCCGTATACCGATTCGTTGTGGCTATCGAACACAGAGACAGACCCGGCAGGAGATTTTAACCCTAGATTCTTTGACGACGCCTCTGACACCGGGTCTGGCCCTGCCAGGGTTTTAGACCCTGCTAACATACCCGACAACCGGGGCACTTCCGTCCCCGACTTTGACACCGACAGCGAAGACGATAGCGACGACGCCTCGCCCCTTGAGGCTTCCACCGATTTGATCTCAAGCCGGGGCTCAAACACCTCCCGCCCTCGGCTCCGCCGGGGTTGGTTCGGCCCCACTGTTGACGCGATCAACCACTACACCAACCAGCTAGCCGTCTTGGACGCAGAAATCCGCCGCGCGCGCGAACGGCACTACCCCGCGACTCCCACCGCGTTTGCGACCATGGACTCGGTCGCGACGGCGCAGATGATGGCCCAGGCAGTGCTAGACCCGAATCTGCACCGCTTGATCACGCGCTTGGCTCCGGCTCCCCACGATATAATCTGGGACAGTGTCTGTCTCTCCCGCAGGGAGCGGCTCTGGAAGCTTTACTACATCACGTTGATGATCGGGATCTTGAGTCTCGCGTTATTGTTCCCAGTATCGTCGCTCGCGACATTGCTCAACGTCAAAACCATCTCGAAGTTCTGGCCGGGCTTGGGCGCCTGGCTCCAGCGCCACAAGTGGGCGGAGGACTTTGTCACCGGGTTGTTGCCCACGTACATCTTTGCCTTTTTGAACTTTGCCATTCCATTCTTGTACGTGTTTCTCTCCTCCAAGCAGGGTTACGTTTCTCACGGGGAAGAAGAGTTGTCTGCCGTCAGCAAGAACTTCTTCTACATCTTTGTGAATTTGTTCTTGGTGTTCACCATCTCCGGAACCGCCTCCAACTACTGGGGGTTCATCAGCGACACATCAAAGCTTGCTTACCAGCTAGCTGAGTCCCTACAAGGCTTGTCGTTGTTCTACGTCGATCTAATCATCCTCCAGGGCGTCGGGATGTTTCCTTTCAAGCTCCTTCTTCTCGGCTCGGTTATCCAGCTTCCCTTCTTCAAAGCCCGCTCTAAGACCCCACGTGACTACCGCAAGCTCTACAGGCCACCGGTTTTCAACTTCGGACTCCACTTACCCCAGCCAATGCTCATCTTCGTTATCACCACCATTTACAGCGTCATGTCGACCAAGATCTTGGCCTGTGGATTGGTCTACTTTGTCATCGGCTACTACGTCTACAAATACCAGTTGCTCTACGCGTGTGTGCACCGTCCACACTCCACGGGGAAGGTGTGGCCGATCGTGTTTCGCCGGGTCGTCACAGGTTTGTTGATTTTCCAATTAACCATGGTGGGGACACTTGCCCTCAGCCGCGGCTATATCCTCGCGTCATGCTTAGCCCCCTTACCGTTGATTACAATGTCTTTTATGTGGGGCTTCCAGAAGAACTACTTGCCATTAAGCATCTTCATTGCGTTGCGTGCAATTGCGAACCCAAATGAGGGCTTCCAGGATGTAGAGGGGGCGCCAGGCGTGGCGCCGAAGTCAGCGCAGACATTAGACGAACGCAGGGAGGTCAACCAAAACTATGACTATCCATTCTTGGTGTCGCCGCTTGATGGGCCCTGGATCGCCATCGAAAACGAAAACGTTGTAGTGATGGTGAACGGTGACGATATCGTGCGCAAGCCCGTGAAGTTTTACGAGTGGGAGTAGCCGCAATGGAGATATCCGGATACTTTGGCGTTTTAACTAATCGAAACAGTGGTATACGTTTGTATTAACTGTGATGTGGGCTTGTTGTGGATACTGTCTGCATATTGTAAACGGACATTCACGTAGAATATTTTCGTAAACGGATTATTCGGGTGTATAGTGCAATATTGAACTAGGATCATGCCTAGCCATCGCTGAGACCCTATGGCTTCATGAGGAGTGGCCACAGACCTAACGTATACGTGATTGGCAATACTAGGAAACTCTCTCAGTATTATTGAATCTATTTTTTATTAAGCTAATACGCTTTGTACCTTGGAGTGCCAACATACACCACTTGCGATGTTTTCGTCGTTACAGCACTGCCTATATCAACCCGGATAACTCCTTGCGCCTATGATTATCCCCACCGATGAAAAATACACGCAACTTAGGTAAGGCGAAATAATTTGGCTTGCCATAATCAATGGCAATTATAACTTATATATCGCCGATTCGCAGACTTGCACCACCTCCCCCAAACCTCCGTGTCTTCTCCCCCATTCTAGATTTCCCAACCTCCTATCTCTACAGTACAGGTCAACGACCCTCAATTTTTCTGCGGTTTTTTCGGCGGAATAATTTTTCACCGCATCTCTTCCTTACGCTCCCTGGACTGTTGGTACACCCAGGTTATTTGCTACTACCGATGAATATTTCCCCCAAACGCTTTAATACTCCACATCCAGGTTAATCTTCCTCGCCACTTTACAAATTAGCCATTCATCACCCTCCCCCAGCCCTTTACAATGAACGAATCCCCGCTATCGCACGAGACGGTGCTCCCGTTCATGGCAGCGCACAAGGCCGAGCTTGAACAGTGTCTTCAGACCCACGACCAATCGACGATTCTCGGCTTGGTCAACTTTGTGCAGTCCAAGGCGTTACAGGTGTTCCGTGACAGCGTTGCGGCGCCGCGCGCGGCGAACTTGACGGTTATGGTGCAAGTCGTGGACACGATCTGGGCCGAGTTCCACTATCCCGCGATTAAAAACTACCAGCAGCAGCACGGACACCTCGCGGCACTCTGCCGTGACGAGAGCAAAGACCGCCGCCGCCGCACAAAAAATGGCAAGGCCGGCGGCGACTTGCGCAAACTCAATGAGCAGTACACACGCTTCTCCACCGCGGTCTACCGCTTCTACCACCAGGTGTTTGCCGCCATCGAGGAAAGGAATGGACAAAAGACCGATACGTTGCAAGACAAGCTGAATCACCTCTTTCAAAGCACTCTGTTCTCGAGTGACCGTTTTAAGGACAACGAGGTAAGTGGTCAAACTAGCGTAGAGCGAAATGGCAAAGGCCTCTATGAGTTTAACAAGGATCTTTTTGAGCTGAGCGGCAATAAAGCCCGCAATGGCAACCTTAAACCAAGTTCGTTGGATATATCCCAGCTTTTGTGTTACGTCAGCTATCGCTGTCTCCTCTCGATGGGCGACGTTGCGCGCTACAGCACCACCACACAGATCAATTACCTCGGACGAGCCGAAGCCCGAGACCCGAACGTTTCCTATGAGCGTGCGTCCGCAAACTACATCAAGGCGATGCTCTTGGTTCCGGAACAGGGCGACGCGTACAACTACCAGGGCATGGTCAACAACCTCCTTCTGCGCGATCTCGACGCGCTCTTCTGGTTTGCGCGCGCGGGCAGCGTACGTGTCGTGTCATCCTTGGGCTGGCACAACTTTACCAACTTGCTCGCGAAGCTCCAGCCGGACGTGTTGGGCGCGCTCCTCCACTCGCGTATCCGCCGCGCGCGCTCACCCGGCTTCCGTGCGGATATGGCGTACTTGTGCGTCGTGGGATACTATGCGTCACCGTTGCTCGCGGCGCAGGGCAAAGACGTGTGGCACCAGAACGATGCCAGCCGTTTGGTCAACGGCACACGCGTCGCGGACATCGAACAGGCAGTGTGTCTGGGGGTCTCCAACGTCGAGGACGTGACGGTAGTGAAAGAGATCCTTCTTCTCATCATGGTCCATGCGCGCTTGGATGTCGACGCGCGTGACGCTTTGTTCGCGTTTGTTGCACGCTACGTCTGCAATATTTTGGACATTTTGCTAGCGGCCAAGACCGAAGATGAGCCTGTCACTCTCTGCGCCACCAACTTACTTGCCGTCATTGTCTTCCTCCTGTGGGTCTGTCACCCAGGAAGCGCGCTCTTGGGCGGTGTTAAGAGTGATAGCCAGGTCTGTGTGCGCCTAGCGGAATTCTTGAACTTGATTGATGAGGAAGATGAGGAGCCAGAGGCGACATTGCTTGATGGAGGCACCGAAAAGGTTCTCTATGCGGGTCTACCGTTCTCCACGGAGGCACAAATTGACATTCATGGGAATATTGTGGCGCTGTTCAGGACGTTTGCGGGGCAGGTTTTAACGGGGAACAGCGCGGGAATCCGGTACAACGCCGCTTTGGGTATGTATGTGTTTGAAGCAAAACAAGTGGCTCCGAAGGTTGTGAAGGCTGGCGGGAGTGAGAAGGCTGAGGCTGTGAATGAAAATACCATGGATGGTCCAAAGTCTTTCAAGGCTGACATGAATGGGTCTGACAGCTCCGCTAACATAACCTCTTCGATGAAAAAGCTCGCGATAGGTACTTGGAAGAACGCTGGGGGTGACTCCCAGCTGAGACCCGCTTCCAGGGCCGACCAGAAGGTGTTTACGTTGGAGGCCTTGGAGGCGGGTATCAGCCGGGAGTCGTCTGGTGAAGGGTTAAATCACATTGTGGCGTCCTTACTCAAGGGAGGGTCGGTTTCACCTCCCGTTCAAGCGTCGAGAAGCATCTGGGAGCACCAGCCTAAGGCTTCTTCATCCTATAGGGGACAAAGCCAGTTCTACTCCCAGGGATGTCTGACAGGACAGAACCAGCCAATGGCCCAATCCGTGGGGCAGAATTCGGGACATTCGTCTATGGGTCAGCCAATGGCCCAATCCCACCAGATGCCCCAGCCATTGACCCAACCTTCCATTCTTCCCCAACCTCATCACCTGGCTCCTCAGATGCCCCAAGCCCCATTGGGCACACAGCCCCAGTCAATATACCCGGGAATGTCCCAACCCTTCCCATACTCCCCGTATGCAACGCCCCAGCAGCTTCCACAGGGGTATGGCTACGGGATGCCGTTGCCACAGCAGAACTTCCAGCAATTTTCCCCGTTTGGTAATCAGTATCAACCGCTGTATTCGGCTTTCCCTCAGACGAATGCATACCTGCAACCCAACGCGAATTACAGCATGCCTTCAAATGGCCAGCCCTTGGCCCGTGAGAAGCTGCAGCCGTGGAACCCGGCGCCGTACCAGAGTCATCAGTGGTAGGCTTAAACACTGTAGTATGATGCATAATGTCTCGGCCGTTACACGTGAGCCTGTTCTGGCTATTGTATACAATGTCACAATAGATCGCATGAGGCCTCGTCCGTGCGTAATTTCATCTTTTACCATAGAGCTAACTCCGCGAGGGGAAGGGTTATTTTTGTCTCTCATCCATGGAACTTAACGAGCCCTGTTGTATGGTTCGGGTGACAATACGAGTTGCTATATTCTACAGTGGGTTCTAGCAAGTTCAACACCAAAAATTTTGATTGTTCAGAAATATTTGACATTTGTTAGAGTACTAACTTCTTCTTCGGAGGAGATAACTTGCGAGGTTATAATTATAATACACTAAACGTACCAGTGCCAGTATTAGCACGAGGTTAATGCTGATATCAAATGCGCCCACCATATTCCTGTGCAAGTAAAACAGTTTACTCGGTAAATTTAATTACTAAAGATGGAGGGTTCTTTCGGTATCAGCAGAATGTAGTAATTATAATATTAAGAACCTAGGAGAGTATATATTCGCTAGCATTCTAATGGCTACGGCGTTAACCCTGGTCGGCCCATAAGCTGCCTACATATTGCAAACTAAAATTGATGCCAACTAGGGGTTAGCATCCTAAACAGAGTTACCCGCAAGATTTCTCGGAGAAGAATAACTTTCTCCAAAGATTTCATAAATAATACCCTTCCTTCTAGTCCTTGTATTAACCAAGCAGAACCTTGTAAACCCACACGTTTGGTAGAGATCTAGACTGGGCCCGGTAACGCGCCTCCCTCTTGGTCCCCCCAAAGGCCGGAAGAATGGCCGAAACATGGACATGGCTATTATTTTAATAAATATTGAAATTAATCCCAAGTCATCGTCATGCTATCAATTTGAACTCCAATTATGGCACAAATATAATGAGTTTTTTTGCCTTTTCCCTTGAATCTTAGTATATCCCGCTTTGGGCAAAAGTTCGCGCGCGAAATCGACACGCGATATCAAAAAGGCCGCAAGACTAGCCGCCTATCACATTCATTCCCAGTTTGGTCCCTACATCAGATCATCGCTCCAGGTAGTTGTCCCCTCCAGAGCATTACTGGCCCTATTTGATTTAATCCTAATCTATCCGATGGTGGCCCTGCACACAAACGTGTATATCCTCACACTCACGTCGCTCAACGACACGTTTCTCGAGAAGAACCTCGCGATCCCGTTTGCTCCCGACTCGCTCAAGCTCGGTAGACCCGCAGGATCTAAGGTGCTTCCGAAAAAGGACAATGGGTTCTTTGATTCACGGGTTTTGTCGAGAAACCACGCCTCCTTCCAAGTAGACCCCGCCAGCGGCAAGATCTGCATCACAGACTTGGGTTCTTCCAATGGTACGTTCATCAACGGCGATAAGATTGTCGAGCCACATGAGGTCAAGATCGGCGATCAGATCGACTTAGGGTTTGACATCGAAATGACCCAGAACCACAAAAAGATTAGCGCTGTCGTGGAGAACATCCAGTTGCGGCCCTTGACCTCTCAACGCGAACTTATTTTCACCTCCCACCCCAGCCGTGGTGTAAACGGCGCCCAGATGGATGAGCTAGCATTTGACAACGCCTTGTTTGGGGACGTGAGCCAAAACTTGCTCAGCTTTAACACCGGGGGAGCACCCGACCAGCAGAGCTCAGGGCTTTTTCCGAATTCTAAGATCAAGAACAGCACGGATTTAATGCTTACTATCAACTATTTGCAAACGCTTCTCAGCTTGACAAGCAAAGATGTGGAGAAGCTCGCGCTCGCGGAGCTGTCGCTACGTCTGTGCACGCAGCGCCAAGCGGAGCGCGCAGGGCGAATTCAGAGCGTTGTTAAAGAGATGGAGGTTTTGCAGGCTGATAAAGAGGCATTGAGGGGCGAAAACGAGGCGTTGAAGGCGCAATTAGAGCAGGTGAGGCAAAATGCGAAAGAGCTAGAGCCAACAGCAGATCCAGTTGTAAAGCCAACGGTGAAACGAACGGTTGCGGGGCTTTTTGAAGATGAGAAACCAATTCCATCCCTACTGGAAAGTGAGAAGCATACCTTGAACAGCCAGGAAGATGTGGATGTTGCCCTTCCAAACGGTACTGACGGCACCACCTCTCAAACTGCCGACGAGCTTCCCATCACGATGATTATGGAGGAAGGCGGGGGAAACCCCCCATTTGAACTTTCCCCTACCACACACTCTCCCCCTCTGGCGGCCGCTACACCCAGCAGGGGTGGCAGAGCCAGAGCCAACTCCAGATCCGTCAGTGCCATGCTATCCAAGTCCATAGCCGAACCACTAGATAAAGACGCCACGCCTACACCGGATGCATTGACCGTTCTTGCGCCTATGGGCATTGTGCCGTCTCTGCTTGTAGCTGATTTAAGGCACAAAGAGTCAGAGATTAAGCGGTTGGAGGGCATTATCACCAAAAATTCAATATTGATACAATCTCTCGAAGCGTCCAATACCACCCTTGCTGAACGGGTCGCCCAGACAGAGCGCGAGTACGAATCCAAAACCGAAAGCTATGAAGAACTGGTGTGTTTATTGGAGCAGAAGCGTGTCTTCACGCTAAACGAATACGCTGCCAAGGTAGACAGTCTACAGGCGGCTCTAGCTAAGCAGACTCTGGGCTTAGCTGCTTTGCGAGAACAGTTGAGACTCAGGGAGGAGGAATTAGCTAAGATTGAGAAATCGAAAGCTCTTTCCCGGCTACCGAATAAAGACCTCAATGAGAAAAAAACCAAGGGTGAGGAGTCCCAAGAGCCTAAGCGGAGTAAGGTTGAGGAGTCCACTATGGCTGTAAAAGCTGAGGACCCCGGGCTCGGTCAGTTGAAGCCAGCAATAGCACGGTGTGTGTCGTGTACTAGTCATCAATCCAACAAGACGAGTATTACGTTGATAACCACGGCCACGGTTGTTTTGCTTGGAGCGTTCGTGGGAATGGCCCGAAAATAGACACCTTGCGAGAAGACATTATCTACTGGAAAGTCAGAAGGTTTTACTTCTTTTAATATGTGATGGTCTCTCTTTGGCGCTTATACCCACTCATATTTTCCGGGGGTTGGAATCGCTGGGAATCAGAATTAGCACCCAGAGTAAGCGCTTGTATTATATCCTTCGCCTTTACCTATCTTTCTCTGCATTTGATGACTAATGTTAGCTTCATTGTACAGTACAGCTAGAGGTCCCTTCAGTATCCTGTGACGTTAACCAGACAGGTACCAATGCATCAGTACCCATCTATGTTGTAGAAGGAACAAGCTTGGTATTGGTATCATGGTGTAAGCCAATAGAGTTTATGCTTCCACGTACACAAGCTCCATTGATACCATATTCCTAGCACATCAAAGGCTAAACGGTTAGGTTATATATAAAATAGCATCCCATTGTTATAAGCTGTAGTTCATGTATGGCAATTTTCTCACTACGCTAACCCTACAATATTAATTTGAAAAATGTTATAATATGGCATTCATCCACCTCTGTACAGGGCCGATAAAATATATGAGCCTTCACTAGTCCTACGATTATTAAAAAAAAACATGGAAGAACAACACTATAGTATGCTAAGTAGAATTGGCACTTGGTTGAATAAAAATGATCCATCCCAACATTTTTGCCAATATATTGATTGAAGCCTCGGTTTATTTTTTTTTCAATCCAGCCTCTCTACCATTTTTCTCTGCAGGAAAAGTAATGACATGAAAAATTACCCACAAACCACTTCTCATACATCCCTACCCGTAAGCCCCGCACCCATTCATATCAACGCATATATAACCCATGTCCGCTCCCGTATATCACCTCGGTGCTGGGGCTATTGGCTGTTTAGTGGCGCACTCGCTCGCGTCGCTCGTGCCGAAGGCGCCGCCGGTCACGCTCCTTCTCCGCACACAAGAGCAGTTGAACAACCTCCTCTCAAACCAAAACCGCGTGATTGTCACCAAGGACTACCACCAGGCGAGGCCTACAAGTGCAGTTCAGGTACAGGGACTCGACGCGGCGCGCGGCGTGGCGCTTCGCGACATCGAGACGCTCGTGGTAACGACAAAGGTCCACCAGACGGCGGAAGCGTTGAAACCGTACCTCAAATGCTTGACACCCGCATCGGACGTGATTTTCATCCAGAATGGCATGGGACTCGCGGACGAGCTCGCAGTACTTTGGGATGCGCGCGCACGGCCGCGCCTCTACCAAGGCGTGATCTCACACGGCGCAGTGCGCTCCAGTGATTACGACTTCCATATACACCACATGGGGAACGGCTCGTTGACCATTTCAGCGATTCCCGACTCCATGGAAGGTTTCCGTTACAACCAGCACAATACGACAAGCGATAAACCGCGGCTCGTGGAGATGCTCCAGAACGGCCGCGGCTTGGAGAAGACAAACGAACTCAACGTTACATACACCACACCTTACGAATTGATGCTCCTCCAGATGGAGAAGCTCGTGGCTAATGCATGCATCAACCCTTTGACCGCACTCTACGACTGCTACAACGGCGAGTTACTTCAAGTGGCACAGGTCTCGGGCATGTTCTCGGAGATTATTCGAGAGTGCGTCCGGGTGCTCTACAAAGAATACCGCTTCTTAGAGCAGGACCCTGCCGCGAGTGTTCGGTTGGGCCACGAGCGTTTGCTCAGCTTCGTCGTCGATATCTGTCAGAAAACGGCAAAGAACTCCTCATCCATGAGGCAGGACTTGGTACATTTGCGCGAGTCGGAAATTGACTACATCAACGGTTACGTTGTACGCTTGGCCAGAAAGCACAATGTGCACGTGCCGCACAACGCTATGATGGTGCGAATGGTGCGTGGGCGGTTGAGCTTGAACCGCTACCGTGCAAACGACGCAATTAAAATGGTGTTGTAAGAGGATTGGTAGCGATAGATGCTTGTATATATGCAATGTAAGGAACAGGGTTGGTATCGTAGTTTGTGTGTGGCAAGCAGTACTCGGGTCTACGCACTTGGCCAGGGGAACCCTAAATGAGCCGATTGTATCTGAACTTGAGAAGTAATCAGAAACAAAAAACGCTGGAGTACTAGGGGGTTGGAAGGCAGCCGGAAAGAAAAAGAAAATATAGCCTAATTAAAGCTAAGGAGATTCATGCCGCTTATATAAGACTGTTGGCAAGACGGACACAGCGGCAAACTCAATTTCCTGGCGTGTGTATCCGCCACACAACATTGCTTGATTGCATGTGCGTTATGTCACGTTAAGAGTAGTTGTATTATAAAATATAAACAAAATAAACGAATCTCACAGTATTAATTGAGAGAAGATTTCATACTTTTACAATAGTAACACCCATTGGCTACTCCTTCTAGCGACAATCGTTGACTATCCCTTTAGCGACAATCATTTTGCTTCATTTCGCGATCGATTTTGCGAAAACCCCAAACACGGAGGTAAAAACTCCCCCACTCCCCTCCCCTTCCCTCACCTTCCTTTTACCTAATGCTCATCCTTGGACTTACAGGCGGAATCGCCACCGGCAAATCCACCGTCTCTGCTGAGCTTGCCTCCTACGGCTTCCCCATCATTGACGCCGACCTTATCGCGCGCGAGATTGTGCTCCCCGGACGCAAGCCGTATCAGCAAATTGTTTCCTTTTTTGGTCCTCTCGTGCCCGACTTGCTCAACGCTGATGGCTCACTCAACAGACTGGCCTTGGGGCGCGCGGTGTTTGGCCAGCCCGAGCGCTTGGCAAAGTTGAACGGCATCACCCACCCGGCGGTGCGCAAGGAGATATTTTGGCGCATCTTCCGCGCGTGGCTCGGGCTCAATCGCTTAGTGGTTCTCGATGTGCCGTTATTGTTCGAGGCGGGTATGGACAAGATGTGTACAAAGGTGGTGACCGTCACCTGCGACGAGGAGATCCAGTTGATGCGCTTGCTAGCACGCAACCCGGAGCTCTCCGTTGAGGATGCTCGCAATCGCATGGCCAGCCAGATAGGCTCAGAGGAGAAGTGCAACCGGTCGGACGTCGTGATCATGAACAACTCAGATTTCAACGCATTGAAGCGGCTGGTGACTGCCACCGTTGCAGCGTTGTTGCCGTCCTGGTGGGTGACGTATCTCGAGATGATTCCGTTTGTGCAGGTGTTTGTGGAGGGCTACCGCATGGTGAACAGGACCCCGCGCGGCACTAAATTGTGAGATATGAGGTCTGGAACAGCTCTAAAAGGATCCAGAAGATGGAAAAGGCCTAAATTCAGAATCTAAGGGCTTATGACTGATTTATTTCAAAGATTATTGTGGAATGGCAAAGGTTCGGATGGAATCTGGATACTTTCTCCCCTGGGCCTAAAGCACTCTGAAGCTATTAACTCGATGACCTGTTCAACTTTGTGGCATAGGGGACCTATATCACATTTTATTCCCTACGGAGGATTTAATCTTATTCTCTAATATACTACTAAATATTTAATATCCGATTTCTAAGAAGCCTTCGCGTTTAACCGTGCGTCAGGTCTTTCTAATTCCGTTGTGTATTCAGACCATGTCTCCCTCTTATACCTACATTGTTTGAACCCCAAATAATCTTAGCAAAATCAACACAAAAGAGAATGTAGGTGCCGCTTCCCTGATTGGAAGTATTTTTCTGCCATCTATTTTATTATACTCAGGGGTTAACAAACATCGAATGCTTCCTACCCTATAGCCGTAATTTCGGCCCATCCTGCACAGGATGTTTGTACTTTTTTTTCCACCTTGGCTTATCTTGCTCTCGTCTTGGCTTACTTAACTCCCAAAGAATCCCACTCCTCCAATGGCCAAACCTCCGTGTATCTACTTCCAGAAGGGAACGTGCCGTAAAGGCAACAACTGTGCATACCCCCATGTGAATCCGCCCAACAACTTCAACGGTAACGCTTTCAATATCGGCCGGGCCGCAGACGCCAATCCCGTAAATTCGCTGAACCCCTTCTCCAAAGAAGAATTTGTATCGGCCAAAACGCTCGACAGAAAGTCTGAGGAGTTGCGAAGCGACATGCAGGAATACCGGTTCTTTGCCCTGCACCCGGTATGCTCATCATATGGTCTTCCGTTCCCGGCGGTTAACAACTTGATTCAGGGGAGAGACCTCTCGTTTGAGGAAATGCGTCTTCTCTACATGGAGGATCCGGCAAAGTACACCGCCGAAATGAGCTCTAGAAAACAGGACATGGACTATTGCGTGGAGGAGATTTCCAAGGACACCCGAAAGGCTGCCAGGTACCAGCAGATCTGCGTGTCCAACTCCGCGATGCTTTCCCAGGTAAAACCCTTTGTTCCGGCGTCGTTAGAAGAAAACTTGGAACGGTTTAAGCGCACGGCTGTTCCCACAGGAAACTCCAATCCCTTTGCCTCGATGGGGGCCAATACCAATCCCTTTGGAAACCAAACGGGAGCTGCTACAGCGTCTCCATTTGGGGCCACAACCACCACTCCTATCTTTGGCGCTCTGACAACACCAGCTTTTGGCACCTCTGGTTTTGGTACCTCGACTGCTACTCCTGCCTTTGGAGCTTCCACCACTCCTGCCTTTGGAGCCTCCACCACTCCTGCCTTTGGCGCCACTGGGTTCGGCACGGCTTCGGTTGGTGCCTCGCCCTTTGGGTCGCTTGCTACAGGCTCACAAGCCAATCCCTTTGGGGCCTCCGGCACCACTCCAGCCTCTACTGCCACGCCAGCCTTTGGTGCTTCTGGGTTTGGCACATCCAGTACCGCTGCCTCCCCCTTCAGTGCGCTCAACACAACCGCCGCTCCCACAACCGCTTCTCCTTTTGGAGCTACAACCGCTTCTCCTTTCGGAACTACAACCGCTTCTCCTTTTGGAGCTACAACTGCTCCTCCTTTTGGAGCTACAACCGCTTCTCCTTTTGGGACTGCCAGCACATCCACTGCATTGCCTTTTGGAGCCACCACGGCCGCTCCGGCTGCCTCGCCGTTTGGATCTAGTGCCCCTATCAACGCTTTCGGTTCAACCCCTGCCTTTGGAGCTTCTGCCTTTGGTTCCACACCCGCAGCCCCAACCCCTGCTGATCACAGCTCTGGAATGCTTCGTCGCTATATCCAAACCAAATCCCCGGACGAGCCCAACCCGTTGCGCTTGGATGAGCTTCCCGAGCTGGTGGTCCAGCAATTCCAGGCGCCCAAGTTTGAGCTTGGTATCGTTCCCGAGTGTGAACCCCCCATGGCGTGTTGTTAGTGGTTGGACAAAGATTATCAAATAGTTTAATCCTTAAAACAGTTGCATATAGAAAGAAGTGAAGGGGTTATAGTGGATAGTCTGCGCAAATAGGCAATCTTACGCTGTAGTAGAAATTAGCTTGCTTGTAATGTTTAGGGTTATCTGTGATGGTTGCATTGATAAGGCTGGCATCTGCATACCCTAGAAGTAACTGTATATCTACAAAAGCAGATAACTGGGTTTTTAATCCCTATTAGACATTGGATAAGCCACCACTCGTGTTCCCGGGTATCTCCTCTAGGAGAATAAATCAGAGGGAAAAAAAAGTACTAGAGTCGAACTCAGGACTGTCGAGGAGCATAGTAGGTTTTAACTCTTCGGAATGCCGCCAAGAATCTTGTTTTTGAAGGTAAAACCAAAGTAGGGAGCTTCAGGTCGGAAATAACCACTAGCCAGGCAAGAGTTCATAAAAAAGAAGTGCTGCTCCACGGGAGGGTCGAACTCTCGACCTTCAGATAAATCCTACTTGGGTAACCCCTAGTATGAGACTGACGCTCTGCCAACTGAGCTAGTGAAGCACTTCTATGAAAAACACAATGTTTTTGGTAGCTACACGCGGTGCGGCGAAAACTTTTGCGACGAAGAAGAGTTGGTTATAATGCAAAAAACTGCCACAATTTTCTGTTATTTTACCACCTTGGACTATTTAGACTGGGAATAAAAGTATCCGGGCTAATTCTAATGAATTTCTCTCCGACGAAAGCTGTTACCCCCTGCTCAATCCTTCATTCATTTAGCTATTCTCATTGCTGCTCCTAGTTTAAGCATGCCAGCTGGTTTTTTTTCTATATCCCTTTATTTTCTTACAAGTCATGTTTTCCATTATCTGTTTCATCACACGTGGCATTTGGAAACCAATGAACAATTCTAAGCCGTGTACGATAGCTTATACTCCTTTCATCGTATATATAACTACAAGCATCAACTGGTGAAATTCACAAATAGCTACTTTGATAATCAACTATATCTTTGCAATTAATTAACCACCTTCACTTCTAATGAAACTCAGGCTTAGACACTTACCCCGCAGCAAACACAGAATACATTGCCGACAAATTCGCCATGCTAGTTTCAACATTAAACGCCTCCCAGAGTAGCACATTGCCACAGTCAAAGTACCAGCCCAACACCGCACCAATCACGGCCTTGCTGAGCCCGTAGCGTGCTAGTAACGCAATCCCCAACACTAGTGTGGCCTTCCAGTAAGCCACATCTGCCACCACGACCAACGCCTCAAGGATCGACAAGTTCCCCGCAAAAGTAATCACCGTCGTCAGGGTGGCAGTATCATACGGCCAAATCAACATGAGGATCGGAAAAAGCTTAGTCAGACCAGATACCGTAACGATATACGTGAGCGCAGCCGCGTAGAAGGAGCGGGGGTAGTGCACTATCGTAGGAAGCAGGTCATTGATCGTCACGCCCTCAATTTTTGTGTAGTTGATGGTCTGGGGCGCTCCCCAGCCGATCCCCCACGCAAACAAGAGCTGAATCACCGCGTGGAAGGTGAGCGATTCAAAGAGAATGCGCAGAATGTAGTACAAGTACTGGTGGAGTATCGACATGGAGAAAATGTGTTCCATGAGCAATGGCTGGGGCGTCCCTGGCTGCCATACGGTGTATGCGCGCTCCTCATACGCCCATGTGAGATACACCTCGAACAAAAACATAAGCACGAGGAGGCGGTTGATCTTGCGGTATCGCGCAAACCACGTCTTCCACTGTGAAAGACGATCGTGGGTGGCGAGTATCATTGTCAAGGCATCGGATTCCAACGAATTGAACACCAAGTGGCGGTATGCCTGCGGCTTGATCAACAAGAGGTCGAGAAAGAGCACCACCTTGTCAAACTCAATGTACTTGTCTGCCACCTCGCCACACGCCTGGCACACCGTGGCTTTGATGTAGTTACTCTTGTATTTCGAGTAGAGACATTGGATAGGCTCCGCGCATTCGATACATATCATCGTTTGGGGCTGGGGTGGGGGGGGAGAGCCTTCCATGTCATATGGAATTGCAACAGATGGAGAAATCGACACATGCGCAAAGCCATGAGTGCAGGAAAAATTCCCCACACGGTAAGTGAGAGTAAGACTATTGTAAGAGGTTGGAGTCTGGATTTACGCCATAAACCTTTATATTTACAATTCAGTCGTTCTGGAATGCTAGGATTTTAATCTTCGACTGTGATTTTTTAAAAAAAGGCTGACATGGATGGATCTCGAAGATGGACCTGGCGGTCGCCCGATCGTGTGCTTTTAAAAAGTATTCACAGAACTTTGAGCCAGCTCCAAAAAACTATATCTGGAATTGCAATAGATATTCAGATATTTTACATAAGTCGGATAAATATTCTGAGAGGAATGAGAAGAGGTGTTTTTAGAGTGAAAGATGAGGGATTATTTGAACGGACCGCCATAGAGAGGTATATGAGGACTAATTATTTCAATGGCATGCACCGATATAAAGAACTGAATGGAGCACTGAGAGTACGTTACTGAGACGGTATAAAGATTTATGGTGTAACCAATAAGCGATTAAACCCTCTGTTTCGAATCTGGATTGTGTAAGTTTCACTCATATGAGCAAGGTGGGAACCAGAGCTGGGGCCTATCCATGGAACGTCACTAATCTTTCTAACCTGTTTTCCCGGCATATACTGGTTCCGGGCTAAGGAATGAAATACTCGATTAAAATACCATCTCGTCAACCCTATGGCTGTCAACCAAAAATTGGTTGGTGCGAAAAGTTCAGAGAGTTTTTCTTGTAGCATGCAACATTTATTGTTTCGTTCTAATATACACGGCCCTAGGCCAACCTACCAGGCCCACCCTTCAAGATAAGCCGTATTGGGCTCCTCCGAAACGTCCTCGGCACGCAACAAGCTGTCAAACTCCTCGAACTCGAGGGCGACTTTGCCCTTGTATCTCTTATTTCTCTCGGCACTCAACAAACTCTCGTAGCTCCAATCTAAGAAATCCTCCATGTTGTATGACTGCTTGCGGAACGGCTCACCAAAGATCTTGGCCAAGGTGGCAATGTTCGGGTGATAGTGCTGCATCAAGGTCTCCAACTCCCACAAGGATGACTCGTTGGCTCTGGTTTTCAACGGATCGGCTTCGGTGAGGCTGAAGGGGTCCTTGTACGCCTTTAAGGCGGCTTCGTCCATGCTAGTGTTATGAACCATAATCATGGCGGATGGATGTCTCTTAAACAAGTTGTACACGAACGGAATTACAAGCACGACCCCGGAAGCAGACGCTGTAAGCGATAAACGAGCGAGCTTCTTGACGAAGGAGCAAATGATGGCATTGGGCAAGTGGGTGGAGCTCAAAAAAACGTCGCACAATCTGAAGAATCTAGCCTTGTACTTGGTGTGTAAAATAGACTGATCCAAGAGCGAGTACAACTTGGTGTAAAAGTCGGGGTACTCGAGATTGTACTTCTTCATCAACTCGAAAAGCGAGTTCAACGACAAGATGGAGACGACCCCACCGACATTGTAGGAGTCGGTCAAGAAGTCCATCAACTGTGGTGGCTGGGTCATGAACGGAATGATCCTCTTGTGGAGGATGAGCAAGGTGGACTTGTACTGCGATGGCAACAAGGGGTAGTTAAGGGCGGAGAGCCAGGTCTTGGAGAACTGGGCCTTGTACTGGGTGGACTTGGTAACGGCGGATGGTGGAGAGGTAAGGGTTTCTAATTCTGCAAGATCAAAGTCCTTAGCTGTCTGGAAGAGCATGGTAGAAGATTTCATGATGGTGAGGAAGTTGGAATAGATGGCCTGCAACATCTCTGGGTTGGTGGCTTCGTTCTCAGCCCTCCAGCTGACGATGGAGTCATTCAAGTCGTTCATGAAATAGAACTGGAGGTCCCAGTACTTGTTGAAGAAGGACTCGATAAACTCGAGGATGATGAAGTTGTTGCATGTACCGTCGGACAAGATCTCACTGTTTTCGTTCGTGAGCAAAGCCTCGCACAACTTGTTGAAAGATAAGTTCGGAAAGTAGGAATCAGACGCGTTCGGGTTCATGTGATGGGACTCAAGCTTGATCAAGTTGAGGTAGATCTCCAACAAATCAATCTGCAAGGACGACTCGTAGCCCAAGTCGGATCTGATGAACTCCAACACAAGGCCCTTGAACTGGTCGTATTTGGCTCTGAGCCATTTGATCAAGACTTGCTCTTTTTCTTTCTGACTGCTCTTCAACATCAAAGCAGCGGTCTTCAATTTGTCCTGGAAGAACTTGAACAAGTTCAAGGATAAGTGTCTGGCAGTGGTTTCCACCGCTTCCACGGCTTCCTCTGAACCGGCCGCCTCGAGCGCAAGTAATTCCTCCTTGATGAGCGGGTACTGTTCCAATAACTTTACCAAGTTGTTGTAGCTCAATTTGGAGGTGGTGAGGTCCTGGAACAACGCATCAACCTCATCCAAGGATAACAATCTTGGGGTATCTACCGGCGCTGGAGACGCTATCTTGGACTTCTTGGCCGCTTTGGGGGCCTTTCTTGCATCAGACTTTCTCTTGGGAGCCATTTTAGCAATTATCGGGGTGTAATCGGTGCCTTTATCGCTCTACCAAACGGTACTTTTCACCGCCTGTTTTCCAGCTGCACACCAAAATTTTATTTTTTCCTGTAAATAATTTCAGCTAGGGCATGCAGCCTGTCTGCAGAATGTGGTAATTAAATATATTACCACGTGATCGCATCGCCATTCCCCGATGTACGCGGCCAGGATGTGATGTGCCGCACCGCCGAAAAACCTTCCGCCCGGGTATTTAAGCGTCCGCGATCTTACCTTTTTCCTCCTTTCCTCTTTTCTCTCCTTATGAACCTTCCAAGTTTTATACTCATATGATGAAGTCTCGCGTTTCCTCATGACAGCTGGCCCCTCTCCTGAAGTTGAGTTACCTCACGGTGATTCCTTTGGGGGGGAATTTAGTCCTTGTATGAGGGCTAGGGTGCTAATGGTGATGGTATTCGGCGCACAACCATAATCTTGTTACAATTTTATTTAACGGATGCTTTGGAGAATTTCTGACCCCTTATCAAAGCTTGGAACGTTCATCAAGCCCGGGCACAATGCCTTTTAGATATATGCTCAACTCGCCTGCGAAGGTGAAATAAAAGCGGTTCTAGACTCCCTTGTAGCTGTCTGAATAGATCGGTGTAAGAAAAGAATCTGTCTATATACACGTAAACTGGTCATGGCGGGGAAGATAGCTCTTCGTTACTCTGTAATTATCGAAATTTTTTGTTTCCAGTATTCTTTCAAAAGTGGTGGTGCATACGTTTGCGATTTTTCTATTCTCCTACAACATACATATACATATACTAGGTGAATATTTTCCACTCTTAGCTCCACAGAGTATATTTACACAAACGGCAATCGCGATGTATTTTTGACAGGTTTGCATTACCTAATATAAGGATCTGATCCAGAAATTCAAATGATATTTATACAACAATTATAAATATGTATTTCAACATTACAACTAATAGCATGTATTTCATAATATACGTTAAAACATAAACATAACCGTAATGCATATTCAAAACATATGTATACATGAGTCTAAAAACATAATATACATTGAATTGTTATGAGTATTTCTCAGATATTTAATCCATGTCTGAATGGCTATGCTGATAACGTACACCGTGGATTCACTACGCATGTAAACGATAGTCAACGGGTGAAAACTTTGAAAACAAGCCGCACAGTCATGACCACTGCATATGTCCATAAGATAGTGTAGGTACAAGGTGCTGAGTATAAATATGCATCAGCCCCCTTTAGTTTTTTCTTCACATTGCCGGCTTGTACTACAGCATTTCAGGTTGAATCTTGTAGTTCTGTAGCGGCCTAGACGTCGGTGGGTTATATCGCTCCTTGTTTATCCGTACCCTGGATACGGAAAAAACAAAGGGTCTCATGCACGCTGAATCATCTCCAGGGAATATCATACACTAACAATGGAGCGGTGCAACCGTTTCCAGGCATTACTTCATGCTATTGTTGTGGGTGTTCCACTATCCACCGGCCTTATCGTTCGCGGCTATGTATAATTGACGCGTGCCAATGCCCCGCAACGCACAAGCTACGCGATGTGATTTATCGGCAGACGTATTTCCAAGAGTTATACTTTCTTTTTGATAAAACGCCAATGCTTTCGGAAAACTCAGGCCGAAATACTGGGCATCGGCCCGTATCGGGGCAAGGGTGCATATTATCTTTTCCATCAGGGAGCGGATTGTGAGCTGTTATGCATACATGTATCCTGACCGAAAAGTCCGATGCATGTTTATTATGCCCCCCATGTTTTCCAATAAAACGCATTTTTGAAACTCATCCATTTTTAGAATTTAGTGGGAACCCACACTTTAAGGGTCTTTAAATGGTATCTTCCATGACTCAAACCAGTGAAGTTAAGGCTAAACCTCCTGGAAAAGACGGCATTTCAATTTCCTTCAGAGTTTTTAGACCACCCTTCGCTAAACTCGATACGTCAATATCATACTATCGGTGGCTCCCAGGGAAATGACAGTTACATCAATATGTCACCTGCATGGCGCTAAGTTTTGGGAACTGCAAATACTAGCATGTTTGGTATTGTTTGAAGGGGGGTTTGCCCAGAGTTTTCATCCAAGAATTATATGATTAATTAAGACTCGCCATGCATGACATGCAGTTCTATGGGACCATGGAGACAGCCAATAGAGAAGAAAAGGCGTTTATTTAGAGAAATTTCCTATATAAGTGACCCTGAGTGCTGCTTTCCAATGTTATTTTTGTCGTAGGTTCTATTACTCAGTTTATACACCCTCGTTTTAATACCCTAAACTATCTAATACTCGAAATGAAGTACACTATCTCCTTGATCGCCTTGGCCTTGGTTTCCCAGGTTAACTCCGTTGCTGTTCCAGAGGGCTTGCCAGCTGCTTTTGCCGCCGCCGCCGCTTCTTACCAATGCCACTCCTACTGTGGTAACGCCATCATCGAATCCAGAACCTGCTCTAGTTCTTCCGGGTACGACACTGACTGTTTGTGCGCTACCAACTCTAACTTTATGGGTTTGATCAACGACTGTTTGGATTGTGCTTGGTGCTTGTGGAGTGACTACGGAAAGTACTTGGAAGCTCCATTGGCCGCTTGTAAGTTGTCAACTTCCCCAACCGGTTCCGAGTGTGCCCCAGGTGCTTCTGTTGCCGAAACCACTGCTGCCAAGCCAACCACCGCTGAAACCACTGCTGCTAAGCCAACCACTTCCGCTGCCCCAACTGCTGCTGAAACCACTGTTGCTAAGCCTGCTGAAACCACTGATGCCAAGCCTGCTGAAACCTCTGTTGCTAAGTCTGTTGAAACCTCTGCTGCCAAGCCTGCTGAAACCTCTGTCGCTAAGTCTGCTGAAACCTCTGTTGCTAAGTCTGCTGAAACCTCTGTTGCTAAATCTGCTGAAGCCTCTGTTGCTAAGTCTTCCCAGACCTCTGCTGCTCCTAGCGCTGCCACTTCTACCACCCCACAGGTCTCTTCCTACTCCGGTGCTGCTTCTAAGCAGCAGGTTGGTGGTGCCATCTTGGCTGGTGTCGCTGCTTTGTTGATCTAAATTCCTCAGGAATAAGCTCGCTGAGTTAGTATTGCATATCCCAGATATTGCATAATATACCTCTGCTATATAAGTACTGGCTGCTTCTTTTTTTACAAGACCATTCAATCTATAAATGTTTGTGCGGTAACGCTACTTTTACCGAGCATTACAATAAATAGTTGGGTGACTATTGCGTATGTAGTACCAAGTTTCGGCTCAATATCGAGAGTTTGGCCATGTCATCGCTGTCTGTGAATGGGTCTTAAAGATCTAGATCCTGGTATATTGATTAAATACTTCATTTGATTCAACCGAAAAGAGACCCAGGGGGATCCAAAGGAGATTTAAGGCATGAACCAATAGCTAAAGAGATGGCGTACCACACCATGTATATACCTACGTTATATACGACCGTTTGTACCGGGTTATCTCATTGCGTATATTCTCGAGTTTCATGGTGCTACCAAGAGTGGGCACCGAGGCGATCCAAGCCGAAGATACCGTGTCTTTAGAATATTTGAAACATACTGGTTAACATCAGTCAATCGAATGAAGTTGCTACCCTTACCTCTCATACGAAAGTTAGCATTGCATTCGAAGGTGAGCATTGTAGTCGAAGGTGTTGATACCGAAGTTGAATCCAGCTCGACCCGAGCCCACAAAATAACATCATCCTAGTTTGTAAGCAAACATGAATCATATACACAGCCTCGACTACTGTATCACCTATTTCAAAGTTATTCTCCCTTTCTTTCGCATTTTAGCAATATCGCATATGTGCAACGTACCAATACCAACGTGACATCGAGCTAGAACATTATGCTCAATGGAGGCACTGTATTTATCTCGGACTTGCCAAAAACCCCCTCCCTACAAATGGAAATACAAACTATAAATAAATCAAACAAATTACATAAAGAAATACAGCTTACTCATCGTCCTTCTTTTTGCCAAAGCCCAAGCCCTTTTTGAGGAATTGACCACCCTTCCCCACGACCTTAACACCCGCACCGAGGCCAGAACCAACAGCCTTGACACCACCGCCGCCAACAGCCCCGATACCTGTACCAATGAGCTTAGCACCACCACCGACCGACACCGAAGAGGTGTGAGCCTTTGCAGTGATAACAAACTCTGGCTTGAAGGAAAACTTGAAGTTCACCACACCAGCGCTCTTACCGTCGGCACCCGTCAATGCGACCTGCATCTCGGTGGGCTGGAGCGGATCGATCTCCTCCAAGTTTATGTACCCGGTACCCAACTTATCGTCCGACTCTGGTCCCATGTCCCAATCGTTACACTGCACCTTGATGACCCCACCAGCCCTGCTGCCGACGGAAATTTGAGTCTCTTCGTTCCACACCGGACTGAGGGTCTTCTTCTTGGTCTTGGACTTGAAAAACTCATTCTTGGTATTGTTCAAGTACAACTCCACGTACGGATCAGAGTAGCCGTTTCTGTCCGCAGATGGCAAGCCCTCAGCATCCACCAACTGGATCTTCAAATGACCGGAATTGGCAATACTGTCAGCCATTGGCAAGTCGGAAACCAACACTGGGATCCAGCGACACTGGACCTGCACACTCCCAGCTGACCCGCCGCCCATAGTCAATGTTTGAGGGTTTTGGTAACTATTCTGCAAGAGCTGGATCGTTGGCAACGTGATTTCCGCCACTGCCTCTTCGGCCCTGTTGTACTTGGCCTTCTTGGAAAGACGCAAGTTGGTTATGGACCAGTCCAACTCTCTCACAAGGTAGTCGCTGGTGAGACCAATCTTGGTCTTTTTGTTTTCGAGCTTGGACGATTCAAACGAGGCATATCCGTCCTTGTCGAAGAAAGCTTGGAGGTAGAGATCCGACTTGGAGCTGTCGACACCCAAGATCTTGAACACAAAGACACCGGTCTGGTACTCGAGGAGCTGGGCTAAGGATAAGTTCTTCTTTCTGGAAACCGCCGCAACCTCAGTGGTCTCAGTCTCGGCCGCCGCATCCTCCTTCGGAGGGTTCTTTGCCTCTTCTTCCGCCTTCTTCTTTGCCTCTTCAGCCCTCTTGGCTTCCTCATCGGCCTCTTCCTTGATATCTTGCAAGGTCATCACGGGTACGGTAGGATAGAAGGACAAGGAGTAGGTAACAAATCCCCTGGCTCCCTTTTTGGTGAGCAACTTGGACGTTCTCTTCTTCAGGTCGACGTACTCGTTGTACTCACCCTTGTCGTTCTTAGAGATCAAGTCGTTCAACTTGACGTCGAAGGAACCCAAGGTACGGTCGTCGGAGACGCTCTCCACGTCCATAGCCTCGATCGTCAATCTCTGGTTAGGCGACGTGATGGTGATGTAGTGCACTTCATTGAACACAGGGTTGAGAGTGCTTTCAACCACGGATGTGCGCGCGCGTTGGAACCCGTTGACCATCAAGCGGAGGTACGGATCGATGGTACCGACGGTTTCCAAGTTCTTCAAGTCCTCAGCCTTGTCCATCTGCACTCTGACCACCCCGATCGGTTCGGTGTAACCGCCCGAGCCAGACACGTCGCTCAAGCCTACTGGCTTCCACGCGGCGGTAAGTCTGATCTCGCCGCCGCCACTGCCGAGAGAGAACCAGTTCTTCTCCACCTGCATGCTGTCGATCAAGTCGTTCAACGAGGTATTGTAGGCGCCGAGCACATCGTCGGACTTGTTCTTCACGACAATGCTGACGCGGGCCAGGCGGCGGTTGAAGATGATCTCCTCGTGAGCCGTGTTCCAGCTTGGGGTGTTGTTGGCTTTCAGCACCTTGGTGGTGTAGACCACCTTCTTGTTGATCTGGATCTCGACGTAGGAGGTCAACTTCTTGCTGTCGGAGCGCACATTCTTGGCCTCGTTGATCTCGATGCGCGCGACACCGGTGTTCAAGTCTGGTGGTGGGTCAACCGCACCGTCGGCCCTAGTCTCCGCCTCCAACACAGGGTAGAACTGCAAGTCGAAGAGAAGCTCGCCGACAGGCTTGTTGTTGAACATGAACGGCGCGGACACGCTCTTTTGGCTGGGCTCCAGAATCAATGAGGACAAATCGTGGTTGATGGCGCCGAGCGGCTTGTTCTTGCGGAACTCGTTGTAGTCGATGGCGCCAATGTGCAACGGTGTGGCCAAGGAGCGCACCAAGATGTACGTGGTTTCGTTCCATGCCGGCAGGGTGCCCTTCTTGGTAGATGTCTTGCCGAGCACCACGCCGTCGAAGCCGAAGGTGAGGAACGGATCCGGCGAGTCGGAGCGCTTGAGGCCGCGCGCGGAGTGTGTGGTGATGGCCAACACCCCGATGGACGAGTCGAGCGCGTTACCGGCGAGCAACTGCTGGACGTTTAACTGGAACGACATCGGGTCGATCAACATCGGTCCGGCGTATTTCTTGACCATGTCGTTGATGAAAGGCAACAAGCCCGGGACGGCGAGCACCTCCCAGTTGAAGATAGAGTCACCAAATAACCGGGAGGTAAAGTCGAATTGGGGCGCATCGAGCAAAGAAACGTTGATGGTTTCGACATGGGGAAAAGCGGTCATCATTCTGACGCGCACACGGGTATTCACCTTGAACGACACGTCCGACACGGCCACGGGCACGGTCACCCCAAACATCTGGAGCTTGACAACTACCTTCTGGTTAACCTTGTTCTTGTACATCTTGTTATGGGCGTCGGCCAACGCGTAGGGGGTGAAAGACATGCCCCAGTCCATAACAACGACGTCGTCGGACGTTTTTGGAAGCGTCTTGACATGGTCGATGCGCGGTGGCTTGGTCCCCGCGGTGAAGCTGTCGAGCCACAACGCCTTGATGAACGCCGGCGCCGGCGACGCCGCGAGAAGCGGGTTAATCTGCTCGCACACGATCTGCGATACGGACGGCTCAAGATACACCCAGTACTTGTCCAAGAACGTGTTCAACCAGTCCATGGTTTCAAAGTCTGACTCGATCTTTTTGATCGAGAACTCTTTCTGCGCCTGTTCACGCAATACCGCGCGGTACTTGCGCATGGATGCGCGATACACGAGTGAAACGGCCACCAGGATCACGAACACCGGCGCGAGCGAGAACCGGAACCATCCCACAAGCCAGGAAAGCAAACCCGCACCGATGATGTACCCAACGTGGTGGTACCAGTCACCGTACGCTGCAACCGGCAAGTACTCTTCCAAGAGCGTGGTGCGTGAGGACAAGTCCTCTAACTCGTCTTCCGCAACGAGCTTATCAGCCTGCTCCCAGCCGCCGACTTCCTTCCAGCCGCGGTAGGTGGTGTCGCGGGGCTTGCGCGGCTCCGGCTTCGAGATTTCAGCTGCTGGTTTTGACTTGGATTTGGACTGTTTCTTGGAGTCATCAATGAGCGGCTCCTGGTGAATTTTGTGGGTGTCGTTGACCTGCGGGGGCTGACTGAGCACCTCTTCGGGGTTATTCGCCTCTTTTATCGCTGACATGATGGTCAATTGGATGAGGAAAGGATAGGTATCAATTGAGTGAAGGATTGCCAATACCGCAAAAGCAATAATTTTGTCAGGCTGCCAAAGTACAGTTAACATTTTGCTTTCCGACATGGAGCAATCCCCCCAAAGGCAGGGGTTACGTGCAGGAGGGAGTAGGCGAATTTCAGGTATATTATGTGCAGGAGAATTCCCGGGTAACGGGAGGGCTAGGGACTAGCAACTATTCAGGGGGCATCTATAGTAATTTTCCCGTATTGTTTGAGATGAAAGATAAGTTGGTAGGGTGGGTTACGTTTGTACAGCATATTTGTTGGTAGAGCAGCTAAATTTACCGCTCCTTGTAGCTAATTAAGTTGGTCCTTTTTGGAGGCTTTACCGAGCAGCAGGGGAGCGTGGGGACGGTGGTATCTTGCACTTGATGCTTCATTGGTTTTGGCTCTATGGGCCTTTCGTAAAATCCCGTGGAGGTAATACATGTTTTCAGCAGGGTTACGAGGCTTACCAATTAATTAAAGGCATAGACTGGCTGCCACTGTAAAAGTGAATGCTCGATACCACGTCTGTTGGTTATTTCGGAGAAATTCGGTAGGCCCGCCAAACAATGTGAGGTATACTCGACGACCATACATACAACTAATTGTATTAAAGGTGTCACCAGCGGTGTAAGTTGTACACTTATTCCCGATAAGTCCTCCCTGTGTACTGGATGGTCACCCTCATCCGGGGCCGACGCATCCAGGTCTAGATAAGGAGGTACTCTCTTATATGTCTATACATAAGCCAGCTTGGTTTAATTTAAATAGACTATTGTCATTGTTAAATATACCTTATCGCCACCAGAAAGGTATTCCAGAGATTTCCCTTCGTTCATATCCTATTTAAATAATCTATGTAGCCGCTTAAAATCGTATAGAAGTTGAGGTCATAACCTTCTCTTGTCAAGTATCATCCGTGATAGTTTAGTGGCTAGAATCCCCGCTTGTCGCGCGGGGGACCGGGGTTCAATTCCCCGTCGCGGAGCTTTTTTTTTTTGGCTGCAGACATCGTACGATGCATCCGGCTATGCGACATGCATACACAAACCCCAGACGGGTCCTCCACACCGAAGACTATCCAGCAAGCCGGTATATTAGTACTGGTACCCTCTATTTGTTCTGATACTGTCCTTAGTTGACACAGCAGACCCATTACCTCCGTATACGTGTTTTGCTAAAACACCAACTTCTCATGGGTTTCTTCTCACTGTCGTATGTCCCAACGGTTAATCCCCTGCATGCTCCTTATTAACACCCTCAGTGAAAAGCTTCCTTTCAAGTCCGTCACCAAACTTGCTCGCTCGAAAGAGGGCAACCTTTTTACCCTGTTAGCGCCAACGGATCTCTATTGGCCCTGTGTGTTTGACCGTTCGCACTCGAAAGTGCACGCCAACACCTTGACCGTTTACTTTTCGAACCAGCACAAGGATGGACTGGGAAAAGTGTACGCTGGGTTTGTCCAGTTGCTTGAATCTTCAGTGTTTGGGGTGCATTCCGCCCAGCTAAACGTCAGAATCTACAACATTGGCGAGTGCGTGGGTGGTGACAACTTATGGATCACTGCCAAGCTCGAAAAGCCGCAGAAAAAGATAAATGGGTCGGAGTTGACTTACATCACCGAAAACGGAGTCAAGCTTTCCATCAACACCGAAACGCAAGCGTATTCAATCGATGTAGCGCTTCCCGAGTTGAAACTTTCGTTGACCGTTGTCAATGCCGCCCAGGTGAGCTACAAGGTGGGCACAAATGGTGAAACGTACTTTGGCCCGCAAAAGAGAGTCGTGAGACACTACTTCATCCCGCGGTGTATCTGCTCCGGAAACATTAATATCCCTGCCACTACAAAACTGACAGCCAAACAGATTTCCCTTGAGGGGCATGGTCAGTTGATCGATGCGTACCAGGGGTTGAAACCGTATCTGGCTGCTAACACATGGCGTTTCTTCAACTTGCAAACAGCCACAGTGGGGATTAACCTCATGGAATACCAAACTCCCTCAAAATACGGGTCAGAAACGGTGACCATCGCCGGGTTGGTGGACGAAAATACCAAACTAGCTGAGAAGTTTATGCTATTCTTGGATGAGGACATTTCCGTGACAACACCCTGTAACAAAAAGGATCCACAGAGCAAGTGGAGCTACCCCGCCGATTTTAGTATGAAAATGAAAAAGTCGATTGCCAAGAAAGATGGCACCACCACGATTGAGGTGGCTGTTGAAAGAACGAGCACTGCCGACCTAACCTTGGTGAACAAGTACGATGTGATGGGAGAGGTGCCGGATATTGTGAAAGCCTTAGCAGGCCCTCTTTTGAAGATAAAGCCCTACATCTTCCAGTTTGAGGATATGTACCGTGTTCGTATCTCGGTCGACGGGGTACAAGTGGTAGAGGAAGTGGCCAGCGGCTCGTTTGAAGCCTCGTTCATTGGAAGTAACTAAAAACGATTCAGGGGAAATAGACGAATAAACGACATATAATTGGCCTGCAGCACAATTACCATAGAATGTACAACTCTGTCACCCGTTTATTCTTGCTGATCTCAGCTTCAAATTGGCATATATTCTTTATCTAGGGTGGAAACTATTACATTCATTTACTAACCTGATTCTTCAACGCTTTCAAAGCACCATCGGATCGATCCTTCCCCATCACCGGGGATGCGCTGACACCGGAGTAAGTATGGGCAGGGGTTACCTGGGTGGTGTAATCGCCATAAATCTTAGGCAGCTGGTTCTGGCGGGTGTTAGTAAGTATAAAAGACGGTTGGACGGCTTGCGGGGGCGAAATACGATACATACCTGCTTTTTTCTGCTTCAAGCTGGCGGCGACGGTTTCCGAAACCTTGCTGAAGGCCGAGACAGCCTTTTTGTCCAAGTTTTCCGGCAACTGATCGGCCACCTGGCGCAATTTCTTGGACACCCTTGGATCCAAGTTGTTAATAGAGCCAAACTCGCCCATCTCGTCCAAGTCAACAATACCCTGGTTTCTCTCCCCCACAAAGGTCAAGTGCTTGTTGAGCAACAAGCAGTTACGGCTGTTGGCCTTGTATGCGAGAAGAATGATGTCCCCAACGATCGGAATGGACCCCAAAACAAAATCAAGTGCAATGTTGAACAACAACTGGGCGTGAAGCCAGAGCGGCAAGCTCTCAGAAGTCTGGGTACAGAGGTAGTAGATATAGAAGGAGAAGATACCGTTGATGACCGGACCCACAACGGGAATCAAACCAAAGAGTGAGCTGACCCCGACATGGATTCCCAAGAACCCAAACCACATGTCAAGACGGTAAGCCGCGCTTTTGACCAGCTTCAAACATGATTCGTCGTGAGCGTTGATACCTGCAGGAATAGGCCTCTTGCGTCTGTGGAGTTTTCTAGTCTTCGGATGGGTGGGCCTGCCGTGCTTATCCACCGTAGGGGTTTCAACAATCTCGTAGTAGGGGTCCTCAATCCCCAAGTACCGGGTAAAGTTTAAGTTAACCCCAAACACCTTGCTGGCGATGAGTTTGATAATTTTTGTAGGGAGGCCCATGTTTGCGGATATTATGCGGGGTGTAGGCGAGTAGGGAGGATGCGGTGGGG